AGGATGGGCAAAAAAAACGTTCTTCGGGCATCCACGACACTTCCACATCGGATAAGCGTCCACGTGGACGAACCCCCTCGATTTTCTGAGCATGTTACAGATTCTGTTCAGTATTCTTTTGTTGGGAAAGGTAGAATATCCGGATCACCCCGATCATTTATACCAAATACCTGCGCCTCGCCCCCTCGAACTTTGGGTGTGGATGAGGTATTGCGCGCCATCGCAATCTCTCTCCCAACATCTTCTCCCTTGACCATAGGATTTCAGAAATTTCAAGTTCCACAAAAGCAGACCAGCTCAGAACACATCGATGCCAGACATCCAAACCCGCAGCATCGAATCGACGGGTACCAGAGAATTCCACCATTCTCCAGCCTCGCGTACGTGGCAGCAGAATCCTTCACGATTGGCTGTTAAACAACCGGTGACATTCTCCTCTCAAGCGGACGGAACGGAACACCGCAACTGGCCGCGTCGCGCTGGCGTCATCGTATCTGCCCATTTTTCTAGACCCAACCCCAGAGCCAACGGGTTCTCCTGGTAACCAGGGATCGATTGCCGAATGCCTGACAGGCATGAAGAAGGAATCGAGGGTTGGGCGAGGAGGGCGCGTGGTCTGGGCGCCGTCAACCTCCAAGGAAAAGGAATCTCGGTTGGTTCCGCCTGGGGGATGCCTGCCACGCTGGCATGGACCTGGTATGGTTGACACGACCAGAACGGGAAAGGGGGGAACGAGACGAGGTCACGGGGCAGTTGACGCAGGAGGCAGGCAGACCGGTAAAGCAGAGTGAGCAGTAGCGGTACCGTGCAAACTGCTAGGAGGAAGAACGGAACCGAAGACGAGGAGATGAAAAGTCTCGCTCTGTCTCAGTCGGTCAGTTGTGGTTCCTAATCTCAATCTCATTCACACCTTCAAATTTACGATTGCATGTCGGAGTCTTCATCTAGTTTCTAGAACCTCTCTTCAACCCTCTGGTCAGCTTCAGTTCCTTAGCTTTTGTCTTCGCAGCGTAGTGAAGTTTAGGTTTCTCCTCGACGCCGTCGGGTTTCCATGGCGACCTGCACGCTAAACCCCGTCGATATCATCGAGCGTGCCAAGGCTGCGCGTAAGCGCAGGCTCCAGGAGCTCTACGTTACGGGAAGTAGGACAAGGCACGTGACCAGCTCCCGGCTCGACGGGTCCCGGTTCGCGGAAACGGAAGAGGGTTCAGGCGATAGCTGGGATGAGTCAATTTCAGCCGACCCATCCTCAGCCACGCCTCCCCCAGCAGGACCTCCCGTCCCTGACGAGTTTCACGGAAGCTGGGAACGAGCTGAAGCGGGTGTACATAAAAGAGCGAGAATTTCAGTCAAGGTGTCGACGGGTTCAGCAGAAGGACCGGGTCCTGCTGTGGAGTCGGGAGAAGTCAGTGCGGGTTGCTCCGGACACAAACGGTCGCAGCTGCTTCCCATGTTCTCACAGGTGAGCTTCTTCCTGGCATATTCATGTTAAATTTGTGATTTTCGCCGCGAGTCAACATCGGTCGTGGTGAGGTTGACCCAAAAAATCGTGCTGATGTGGTACGTGTGTCTTTCAGGCGGCTGTGACGCTTGGGTTCGGCCCGTCGGACTTATTGACGGCCGTGATGCTCCACGACGCGTGTCAATTACGATGCCGGCTCGGCGGAGCGTGCTGCCACCGCGACACGGTGCAGCGTCACGTGCTCGCACTGACATGCCTCTTCGTCGCTCACAAAGCCCGGACCGCGCGCACATCCACCAATTCCTTGAGGTTCGTCACGAGCCACACTCGCTGCCACGCGCTGCCACTCTCGTTTCCGTTTAGCCTTATTCGACGCTGCGTCTGTGTCCCAGCCAGTCTCAATTCTCGTATCTAAACGAACTTTTGTTATGCTTATTTGCTTATTCCCGTCGTGCCACCATGCAGCACGGACGCCTTCTGCCAGACATTGGCATGTCTAGAGGGTTTATCGGCGGTCAAGGGCTGCATGCTGGAGCGGCAGCTTGATTGGGTGTCTCGCCTCTTCCCGTCCCTGCATCTCCCGGCCTCCGGAGACAAGGAGGCCGCTGCTGGGCTCTTACGCAGTCTATGGTGAGTACCAGTTGGTTTTGGGAACTTACAGCTTGACAGTGAACCAATAGTCCTCAATCTGGCCTTTTCAAGGGTTATGGTAGTTGGAAGATGGTCGTTTGGACAGGAATTGTGGTGGCATGTGGGTTCGAAACATGCAACTGTTCTAACGATTATGTTTTTCCTCTGCAGGTCGTCGTTGTTCCGCGATGGGAACTCATCGTCTCACGCTCGCTACCTCGCAGCCTTCGTGCTTCAGCTGAGGACTACCGTCTTCGGCCGGATGAAGGTCCCTCCCAGTGTGGTAGCCGCTGCTGCTGACGTGGCTGTTCGCGGAGTCAAGTCTACAAGGAAGCAGGTAAGAACATCACAATGGCTTATGACATTAAACCGATGTGCTATGAAAGGGGTTGTTGGAGGGTTTTTCGTCGCGACCTGCTGTCTCACGTCTCGACCTTTCCTGTGCGATCCCTTTCAGGACCTGGTCCGTGCTTTCGCCTTGACGTCGCCAGCTTCGCAACTGCGCGGCCATACTGCAGGCAACGCGTCGCTTGCGAAACGCGTTGCTCTGCCTGCTGTCTCCGAAGCATCTGCTGTCGCCATGGCTGCCGCAGCAGGTGTTCTTACTGACCTCGCTAACTCCCCTGCTACCACTGCCGTCGCAGCTCCTTCGCGTTAATTTCTAACCCAGCTTTCCAGCTCCGGCCATTTTTATTCAGTGCCGTCCACCGTCAGATCTGCAGACCAACTTCTAGATCGGATATTCCAGATCGGATTTACCATGCCATGGCATGCAACCCCTGCAGAGCGTGCCATGCGATCCACCTCCCCATGACATGCTATCTCTGCACGGGATCGCCATGCTACACCATACACCATACCCCATACCACAGCACGCCACGGACCAGTTAAGCGGTTGATCATACTTTAACGTCTCTCTGGTCCTGGCGTGGCCCGTATACACTCTTGCTGTTCCGTCGACTACTCCCATCGAAATTGCTCCAGGAGAGAGAATGGCCGCAGCACACTCGTACCCGCTACAGCAGACCCAGACACCCTTAGTGCCTCCAGTGCTCTTCAGCGCTCTTCAGTGCTCTTCAGCGCTCTTCAGTGCTCTTCAGCGCTCTTCAGTGCTCTTCAGCGCTCTTCAGTGCTCTTCAGCGCTCTTCAGTGCTCTTCAGCGCTCTTCAATGCTCTTCAGCGCTCTTCAGTGCTCTTCAGCGCTCTTCAGTGCTCTTCAGCGCTCTTCAGTGCTCTTCAGCGCTCTTCAGTGCTCTTCAATGCTCTTCAGAGCTCTTCAGTGCTCCCCAGTGCCCCCAGTTACCTTCAGCGCTCTCCACGCGTTTGCGTTTCTGTTTGCGTTTGGTTTGGTTTGGAAGCCGAAACCCAGCAAGCCAGCCACCCCACTGTACACTCATCAAGTTCAGCAGTTTCCAGGATGTTACCACATCCTCGCCTTTGTGCTGTGTGCAGCTGTACATAAACCATGAGTTGGATCTGTGTGGACTTAGTTACTAGTAGTTCTTATCCTCTATGTACAGCTTTTTTTATTATGCGAGTTTTTTGTTCAATCCCAGATCCAGCAGTTCAGGTGCTCCCACTAGCGGATCAACAACTAAAGTGTAGCTGCCTGCATCAGCCATTCCCCTTGCAGGTACCATGGTCTATGATTAGGAGAGATCATATCCATCCAACTGCATCTCTGCTTCTGGCCCAAAGTTCCGTTTCCTTGCTTGCTGATGCGTTCAAATCTCTTAGCATTTGAACCAGAAAACATCTCCATAAAATGAACCAGAGGTGGAAGAAACAGAAGCAAGTGCCGCAGCACTGGCGATGGGCGTCATGTCACTGTTTTGGTCGCAGTGCCTTTGGCCAATCACAAGAATGCACTTCAATTCCTTCTCCATGGGTCGCAAGAGAGAGAAGTACTTTAAAACGAGGCTGGCGGGCTGGCGGGCTGCGTGCTGGCGGTGGCCTTGTCACTCACACCCACCTGCAGTCCCACAGGCAGAGGGGGCATATCTCACATTTCACTGAGTCAACTCACTCCTCCCTCATACAAATGGAAGCCACGGGTGGGAAATCATGATTTTAAAGAATATTTGTGCATGTGCTGTGCTAGAATAACCAGAAAATCACGGGAATAGGTTTTGTGGTGTTGTTAATTGATAATGCCTGGAGATTCGTACCAGCTAGTAAGGACTGCTGTACATAGATTTGTTTTCCCTTCTCCAGGTTATACTCGTTTGAGTGTCGTTATGCGACAAACCCAAGGCATCTTGGTTGAAGTGCTGTTTCTGCTCTCGAGAGAATCTCTTTCGCTCCTCACCTTCCCTCCATCTTCCTGGCCCACTTGTGCTTCATTCCTCTCACAGCCAGCCGCCATGGATCCTTGCGTGTAATCACCATGGTTTCTTTCACCCTTTCTGCTGATCAGCACCTTCAAACCAGCGGTAATTTGGAGCCTATTGCAACGTTGAGATTAGTATATTTTGCGGATTTTGAATCTACAGATTTGGCGGGTGGGCAAGCGAGAGAGCACCATGGCGCGCAAGGGTTTAATGGAGCAGGATCTCAAGACGCTGGATGTGACGAAGCTCAATCCGCTGTCTCCTGAAGTCATCAGTCGACAAGCCACCATCAACATCGGTGCGTCCAGATCGCACTCCTTGCGTGCAGTCGGCTCCTCCTTCATTCTAATAACCTTTTGTTGACCTTTGACTAACTTTTTTTTCCTCCTATTGTACCATTCCTTCTTGGTTGTGACTCTCAGGTACAATCGGCCATGTGGCTCACGGCAAATCGACTGTCGTTAAGGCCATTTCTGGCGTCCAGGTAAGACGGTCGGCGCTTTAGGTTCGAGTCAGAGTTTGGTGGAATGCGGGAAACTGCATAGTCAAACGATAGATCGGGACCATTTCTCATCCTGATGCGCATCTCACGCGCAATTCCTCGCGTTTTTGCCTTCTCCGCAGCGCGTTCCTGTGTCCACGACCTCCCTTCCCTTCCCTCATCTCATGTGCCGATCCTTGAGAACAACGCCCTCCCTCCACTTTCTCAATCTGATCCGCCTTCGCGTGGATTCTTGTGCCGCAGACGGTGCGGTTCAAGAACGAGTTGGAGCGAAACATCACGATCAAGCTGGGATACGCCAACGCCAAGATCTACAAATGCGAGGACGACGCCTGCCCTCGCCCCATGTGCTACAAGTGCGTCGCTTCGCGAGTTGTCCTCCTTCTAGAGGACTATTGTGAGGGTTTGAGAGCGGTGGACTTCGGCGTAGACGGGTGGAGTGATGTTGGGGAGAGTTCTGGCGAGGTTTGGCCAGAGTCGAAGCCAAGGCTGATCTTGGCGCTTCAAGTTAGGGTTTTGCCGCTGCAGCTGTGGGTCGGTCTTAATCTCTTATGCTTCCTTTCGCGCGTGCAGGGCGTACGGCAGCAGCAAGGAGGACAGCCCGCTATGCGACGTGCCGGGATTTGAAAAGGCCCGCATGAAGCTGATGCGCCACGTGTCATTCGTCGATTGCCCGGTGAGGCTGTAGGTCATTGCAGAAGCGTGTGGTGCTCGCATTGCTGCTGCTGATAGTGGCCAGTGTTAGCCTCTTTCCCTGATACGCTGCCATCTCCACAGTGCTCACTAGGAACCGCGTGCTCACTCCCAAGCCACGCACTCCTGCTGCTGATTTGCATCCCTCGCTATACTAGCCGGTACTAGCCTATTCGCTTCATGCCGCAGACATTCTAAGGCACGCAGTCGTCTCGTCGCACATCCTTCTGCAGTCTCATACCCGTGTTCGCGTCCAATTCTTTTTGAGAGCCCAAGCGCATGGAACCCGTACCATGATAACTTCACCTCACTCAACTCCTCCCCGTCGCTCCCACTCTCCGAGACCTCCACGCACCTCCGCTCCGCTTTCCCTCTCCGCTTTCCCAGTCTCGCTTACCACCTTCCCCCGTACCCCGTCTCCGCGTTCTCCCTCTTCCCCGCCACCCTCTCCCTCTCCCTCACCCACCGCAACCCCCACCCCCGCTCTCCCCCCTCCCCCCGGCAGGGCCACGACATTCTGATGGCGACGATGCTGAACGGCGCGGCGATCATGGACGGCGCGCTGCTGCTGATCGCGGGCAACGAGAGCTGCCCGCAGCCGCAGACGTCGGAGCATCTGGCGGCGGTGGAGATCATGCGGCTGAAGCACATCATCATCCTGCAGAACAAGATCGACCTCATCCAGGAGAGCGTCGCGCTCAACCAGCACGACGCCATCCAAAAATTCATCCAGGTATGGGGGAAGATTGAACATTTAAATGAGAAAACATGACTCTATTTATTTCGCATACACGTTGCACTTATCCAGCACGCTGCTATGCAGAGAGGTTCAATTGTCACCTATTCAGAGAGGAAAGAGGAGGGGGAAAAGGGAGTGGGGATAAGGTGAATGGCCTGTTGTCACCGCAAGACCCCAGTTCGTCTTGTGTAGGCTTCATATGTTTGGGTGCGCGTTGCTGTCTTCCTTCCGTCGTATCCATGGCTCTCTCGTCATCGTCTCCTTCAACTCTACCCCACTTTGTACAACCCCCCACCCTCTGCCCTAATTCCCTCACGTTCGCCCCTTGCCCTCCCATACCTCACCCCATTCCACCGGACCACACCGCAGGGCACCATTGCGGACGGCGCGCCGGTGATCCCCATCAGCGCGCAGCTCAAGTACAACGTGGACGTGGTGTGCGAGATGATCATCAAGCGCATCCCCATCCCCGACCGCGACTTTGTGTCGCCGCCCAACATGATTGTCATCCGCTCCTTTGACGTCAACAAGCCCGGCGCTGAGGTCGATGACATCAAGGGCGGCGTTGCTGGTGGCAGTATCCTGCACGTGAGTCGCTCCCTGCCCTGCTTGCTCCCCTCTGCTACTACTCCCTTCCCCCTTCCCACCCCCTTCCCTCCCTCCCTCCCCTTTCGCTCACTTCCACGCCCCCCCCTTTCCTCCGTCCCACCTTCTCCTTCACTCTTCCCTGCTTCTCAGTTCTCTCCATGTTAACTCCACATTCCCATTTGTTCCTGTCTCCTTTTCATGCGCTTTGCACTCACCCCTCCTTACCATCCCAATCGTACAACAGGGGGTGCTGCGGGTGGGGCAGAAGATAGAGGTGCGGCCGGGCATAGTGGCCAACGCGGATGGCAACATCCGGTGCACGCCCATCTGTTGCTTCTCACCACCCTCTCGTAGTAACCTCTCAACCCCCTCCACCTCTTTTTCTCCTCTCCCCCATTTCCCCACCCCCCTCCCTCCCATCCCCCATCTGTCCCCTCTGCCCCTTCATCCCTTTCTTCTGTCAATCAAACCACAGGGAGTGCTGCGCGTGGGGCAGAATATAGAGGTGCGGCCGGGCATAGTGGCCAAGGACGCGGACGGCAACATCCGCTGCACGCCCATCTTCTGCTTCCCACTTCCCTCTCGTGCCCGGCCCCCACTCTTTCCCACCCTCCGCCCCCCTCCCCCTCCCCACTCCCCTGCACTTCCTGTCCTCCCCTCAATCACAGGGAGTGCTGCGCGTGGGGCAGAAGATAGAGGTGCAGCCGGGCATAGTGGCCAAGGACGCGGACGGCAACATCCGCTGCACTCCCATCTTCTGCTTCCCACTTCCCTCTCGTGCCCGGCCCCCACTCTTTCCCAACCTCCGCCCCCCTCCCCCTCCCCCACTCCCCTCCACTTCCCGTCCGCCCCTCAATCACAGGGAGTGCTGCGCGTGGGGCAGAAGATAGAGGTGCGGCCGGGCATCGTGGCCAAGGACGCGGACGGCAATATCCGCTGCACGCCCATCTTCTCGCGCATCATCTCGCTCTTCGCCGAGCAGAACGAGCTGCAGTTTGCCGTGCCAGGAGGGCTCATTGGTGTGGGTACAACTATTGATCCCACGCTCACCCGCGCGGATCGCCTCGTGGGGCAGGTGCTGGGGGAGGTGGGGGCCCTCCCGGACGTCTTTGTTGAGTTGGAGGTGAGCTGGGGAACGGGGGGAGCGTGCTTGTGTGTACGTGGTGGGGAGCTTGGGGTGTATGCAGCAGAAGGGGGAACGCCTTCGTGGGGCAGGTGCTGGGGTAGGTTGGGGCCCTCCCAGACGTCTTTGTTGAGCTGGAGGTGAGACGAATGGAACGGTGCACATGGATGGGGGCCGCATTGAGCATGGATGCGTGTGCGTGGTGTGAGCATGAGGTGTATGCCGCATCAAGGGGGTTGTCTCGTGGGGCAGGTGCTGGGGGAGGTGGGCGCGCCGCCAGACGTGTTCGCTGAGCTGGAGCTGAGTGGAGGGGGGCTATGGGCAGTGAGTGTTTGGAGGAGTGGGCATGGGTGTGTGGGTGGGCGCGTTTCACATTGGGTGAGGCAAGGGCAATTCAAGCTGCTGATGCTCAATGTTGGGCCGATGTCCCCTTTCTCCCCTCACCCGTGCTCCCATCTGACAAATCAACTTCTTTTTGCTGCGGCAGCTGCTAGGAGTGCGTACCGAGGGCACCAAAAAGCAGGGCAAGGTGTCAAAGCTAACCAAGGGCGAGGTGCTGATGCTCAACATCGGGTCCATGTCTCCTCCTCTGCACCCTCAACCCATCCACCCCCCCACCCCCCTTCCCCCCTCTCCCTTCGGTCCCAAAGATCAATTTCTTCCTGTTGCGACGGCTGCTGGGAGTGCGCACCAAAGGAACAGAGAAGCAGGGCAAGGTGGCGAAGCTGACAAAGGGAGAGGTGCTGATGCTCAACATTGGGTCCATGTCTACGGGTGCGCGCGTGGTGGCCGTGAAGAACGATCTGGCGAAGCTGCACCTCACCTCCCCCGTGTGCACCAAGACGGGCGAGAAGCTCGCTCTGAGCCGGCGCGTGGAGAAGCACTGGCGGCTGATTGGCTGGGGGCAGATCCAGGCAGGTGTGAAGCTCGATGTGCCGCCACCTGTTGACTTGCCCAAGTAGATATGGGATGTGAACTTGTTTAGGGAAATTGGGAGAATGTTCAGTAGCGTGGCAGCAGCAGAGGCAGGGCTGCGGCAGTAGCAGGCCGAGGGGGTGGCAGATGATAGAGGATGATTTGACAGCATGTATGAGCAACAAGGTAGAAGCTGTTGCGGGAGCAGGTCTATGCCTTGGCCAATTCTTGGCTATACTAATACCGTACCGTATGGCCCCGGATAGAAGCGCAGGCCTATGTTAAGCGCATGCGCTTGTATCTGGAGCAATGCGCTTATGGCCGATCCTCAATTATAAGCACACCCCTTATAAAACCCTGATTTATTATAAGCGCATGTATAAACATATTTCAAAAAAACGGATTAAAACAGTAACGACTTCCCGTTTTAAAGCGAGTCCACATCCACTTCTACTCTGTTTGACTCCCTCGAGGGCAGGCTCGCTCAGTAAAAGCGCAACAGCGCGAAGTTGACCTGACAGGAGGGCTCGGGAACACCTGTTGTCTGTGCGCTGCGAGCGAGCGACTGCAGGCTATTGGTCGTACACTGGGGCAAGCCTGTGCGATGCGAACGAGCGACTGCAAGCTATTGGTTCGTACACTCTCATGGTGCGAGCATGACACATTCCTATGCGAAAGTGACGTGTCCTTGCCCTTGTGCGCCAGCAGAGAATCGCCCTCGCGAGATTCTGATTCAGAACGCTCCACACATTTCGATTTGAATGAAATTGCAAGACTCTAATGCACAGTTTGGTGCGTTTATAACATATTTCTGTGTTTGTTATTATATAAGCGCATGCGCTTATAATTTTGACTCATTTATAAGCGCACCCCCCTAAAAAACACTGTTTTATTATAAGCGCAGATGCGCTTCTATCCGGGGTATTACGGTAATACCCCGGATAGAAGCGCACCTGCGCTTATAATAAAACCTTGTTTTTTGGGGGGGTGCGCTTATAATTGAGTCAGATTTATAAGCGCATGCGCTTGTATAAAGGGAAAAATGAAAATCAATTTTGAACACACCATTGTGAAGCTCTCAATTGTTGGAAACAATAAGTCCTAAGTGCGCTTCTGTCGTATCAAAATCCAAGGTACCAAGCGAAGCAGTCCCAATCGAAGCATCGAGTCAACCTCGGAGGTTAGGGTAACCGCCTGGAGGTTACGAGAAAGTCAAAGGTCGCTGACCTTTGACTCGACAATTACAGCGCGACAGTTAAGGACACACAACTGACTCGTTACAGAGCAGTTGCCCGAGTCGCGCTATATCGAACCGCAACAGCAATACAGTTATCTATCTATTCCCTGTACTCTTATATAAATCCTTGTATTTGCTTGTTTAATTCAATCAACTTTGCTCTCACACACCAGTGCAAGGTCGGTTCAAATTCTTCACTAAACGCTTCCGCTATTACAACTACTTCACCTAGAGTTATCCCTTGCAAAGATCCTAAGGGGCTATCTCAGCCCAACATGGTATGAGAGCAGACAAGGGAAACTCTACTCTTTTTTCAATATCATTACAAGACATGGCAACAAACAAGGAAAGGAGCTCCCCTAATGGCTCCTCGGGCACTACTCCTACTCCACCGTCAGCCTCTGGCCTGCAGACAGAAGAAGGCACGGCAACAAGACCAAGAGGAACGTCAACCGAGACCCCCATGAACCACCCTTCGGACTTTGACCAGAACATGATGGAGAAATTTTTCTCCTTCATGTCCTTCTACGAACAACACCAGCAGTCGGGACCTGCACAAACACACAACAGCAACAACGGAGCGACACCCATGAGTCTTGATGGGTCGTCATATGCGCGAGGAAACCAGCAGCAGCAACCTACCTTTGCTCCGTACGAGCGCGGGTCAATCAGCTTCGTGCCCCACCCGCAACCTTCACCTGGACAAGAAAGACCACTGGACGCACTTCAAGTTCAGTCGCAGTTTGCACACGTCTTAAAACTGCAAACGTCAAGACCCTTCGACGGCAAAGACTTCTTTACCTGGTCCTTTGAATTCGAGCTGATGATGGAGGGCGCGCAGATACTCGGCTTCTTCGACGGGTCCCTGCAGTATCCAGCCAACGGGACACAATATGAAAAGCAGCAGTATACGTATCAATCAATGATGGCGTATACAATCCTATTGAGGAATGTGACACCAACTCAGCAGCAGAACATTCGCTCTTACCGGACCTTCGGCAACTCGGCGGAGCTCGCGTACAGCCATCTGAAGAACCTGTATCAAGCAACAGACAGTGTAAACCAGAGCAGGTTAATGGCGCAGTTGACGACAGTCGAAATGAAACCAGGAGAAAAAGGACTGGCGTATATCAGCCGATGTCGCGAACTGCGCGACAAGCTGCTTCGATGCGGAGGGTCAATCTCTGAAGACGCCTTCGTGACAGTCATCATTGGTGGGCTTGGTCCTCAGTGGCGCGCCACCAAAGCCATTCTTCGAGCCCACGGAAGAATCTCTGAAGCTGCACTCTGCGCCGAAATACATGCCGAGCAGCAAGATATGGACCTGCAGGAAGAACGACACAGGAAGAAAACGACAGTATCAGAGTTCGCATTCCACACTCAACGACGACACAGCAATTATAACAACCGACAGCAGCAACCGAAGATAGTACCTCCCTTCTGCCACATCTGCAAGACTTCAGGGCACCCGCGCACACACTGCCCGAATCGTCAGCAATCAACGGCACCACAGCGACAACTTCGACCTTCAAGCTCCCAAATGGCTTCAACACAAGCAAGTGCGACGACCACTATTCAAGCTTCAACGACTTCACCCGGACAACCTGCACAAGGAGCAAGAAATATAATCAACTGCATGACGAAGATAACCGATTCATGTACAACCGAATCACCACCACACTACTCACCGGAAGAAGAGCTTGACAACAGAACGCCTCGCCGTGAGCTACTCCAGCCGAATCCAACGTACGCCGCCATCGCTCAAAGTGAACCGTCCGGCCAAGACACCTGGTTCTTGGACAGTTGCTGCGGGCAACACATGTGCTCGTCCGGGCGTTTCGTACAACGCGAACATCGACTCCAACGGGAAGTGATCATCACGGTTGCCAACAACCAAAACCTGCGCACACGAAGACAAGGAGTGGTACAGCTTCAGTCAAGAGAAACAAATGTCATACTGCACATGTCTAAGGTACTCATCGCTGAAGGACTCGGCTACAACTTACTGAGCGTTAGCCAGTTGATGGCGAAAGGAATTCATCTGGAAGCCGACAGCACGACCCAGGAGTTCAAACTTTACCACGGGAGAGGCGGTCTCTACATCGGGAAAGCAGTGCTGAAGAACAACGTCTTCGTCCTCGACTTCGTTCCTGACCTGGGCACTGCAGACAGCGACGCCATCGTGAATTTCACTGACTGGACACACCCTCCGGATCTCGACCCCGACTTCAGCCCAGGAGGCTTCTGGTACTCGCACACCATTCCTGAAGCAGAACGAACACGAGCATTAGCAACAATTCGACAATCGGCAGCAGTAACAACATCGGCAGCAGCAACAACATCAGCAGCAGTAACAACATCGGCAGCAGCAACAACATCAGCAGCAGTAACAACATCGGCAGCAGCAACAACATCAGCAGCAGCAGGAACAACGACACCAGTCACAGTCGACGAAGCACCACCAACACCCGCGAAACAGCTGAATCCGACTCAACGTGAAGTCCACCGAAGCGCCAACCTCGTCGCCAGCTTTTACTCCAACTCCGACGCATATCAGCGTTCACCTGGACACCGTGCCTCTGAAGAGATCTGGCACGCACGAACAGGACATCCAAGCAACACGGTTTTGAATAACACGATAAGAGCAGGAGTCCTTGACAAAGATTCTCTACTTCTACCCGATGGCAGAGAACTCCAGAAGGCACGAGGGACTTGCCTTATATGTCCCGAAGCTGACTTACCTCATCGACCGTTTGCTTCACATCACAACCCGTGCGCTCCAGCGTACGCACCACTCGAAAAAGTCTACAGCGACATCCTCTACAATCGCGAGCCAGGACAAGTCAACTACAACTACACCATCACCTTCATCGACGCCGCCACTCGATACGTCTGGCATCGCAACCTACCCAGCCGCGACATGGCGCTCGCAGCATTCGCCGCCTGGCTACCGATAGCAGAGAGAGAGTCTGGAACACAACTGAAAAAATTCCAGTCAGACGGAGGTGGCGAGTACACCTCTCACCGCTTCAAGAAGTTCTTGGCGGAAAGGGGGATCAAGCAACTCCTCTCCCTTCCTTACGCACATCAGCAGCAAGGTGTTGCAGAACGACTGAACAGGACCCTGCAGAACAGCATGCGCAAACTATTACGTGGCATGCGGCTACCCAACCACCAGTGGCCAGCAGCAATGGACCACGCTGTCATGCTACACAACTTGTTGTCGTCGTCGTCACTCCCGAACAACGCATCACCGCATCTGCTGTGGACAGGGAAGCAGGGCAGCACGAAAATGTTACGAGTTTTCGGGTGCATGGTACAGTACAGACCCCCAGAAGCACGAGCGGGAAGATTTTCGCAACGGGCACAGTGGGGACTACACCTCGGCATCGAGAAAAATTACAACGCATGGAAAATCTTCGACGTCCACACAAAGGAAACAGTAGCAGCACGTGACGTGATCTTCTACGAAAGACTCACCCTTCAGACGTACCTCGCCAACTTGCACGAGAATCGGGACCTCACCAGTGGTTTTCGTGGTGACCGAGCCTTCGCGTCAGCAGCGGACGAAGCAGACTGGGATGAACAGAACGTCGACAACGCCTCAGAAGAAGCCGGACCTCTCCCATACTGCTCCGTCGACGTGCCCATGGATGAGGATAATCCTCGCGACAGTAACAACGCCGAAATCTTCTACCACTTCGCCGACGATGGTTACGTAACACCTGTGACAGTCAACAACAACGAAGCAGAAAGGGTAGGGCCAAATTTCATGCCCGACCCAGAAACGGGAGACGAAGCAGCTTATCCCGAGGATCCAGAACTCCCTCGATACTCACAGACTGGGCTGCAAATCCTCGGCCTCGTCACCGCAGTCCACGGGAACACACGCAGCTCGCTTCCTAAGGAGCCTGCAACGGTTCAGCAGGCTCTGGGGGGGGAACACAGGGAGAAATGGCGTGAAGCCATGGATAGAGAACTGAAGGCATTAGAGGAACGCAACACTTGGAAGGTTGTTCCCGTAAGCGTGGCACGGAACAAAACCATCCTTACCGGGAAATGGGTCTTCCGCATCAAGACGAAAGCAGACGGCACGATCGAAAAATTCAAAGCACGCTGGGTCGTACGTGGATTCGACCAAGAGCAAGGACGAGACTTCACCGAGACCTTTGCTCCAGTCAGCCGCCACACGTCACTCCGAATTCTCCTCGCCATTGCCGCCATGAAGAAGAAGAAGTTACGGCAGATCGACGTCGCGAATGCCTTCCTCTACGCACCTGTGGATGCAGAAATCTACGTCGAGCTCCCGCACGGTTCCCACGGCGAACCCAACCGAATCTGTCAACTACTTAAGTCGCTCTACGGGATCAAGCAGGCACCGCGACTGTGGCAGCAGTACCTGCACGCCCGTCTCATCCGCATCGGCTTTAGTCAACTACCTCACGACCAAGGCATGTACCGCCTCACTAAGGGAAGCGACTACGTTCTCCTGATCGTCTACGTGGACGATCTCCTCTACATTGGGTCAACCGACGGCATCGCCACGTGGTTCGAAGGAGAGCTCCAGAAAGACCTCACGCTCACGGTCTCCTCCACCGTTACACAGTACCTCGGGCTCAACATCCGCGAAGAAGAAAACGCCATCTATCTAAGCGCCGAGAAATACGCCGACACCATCGCGAAACGCTTCAGCCTCACACCAAGCGCCATCTCCACGCCCTACCGCTACACATCAGGAACCGAGAAGGAACGAACTACTCTACTCAAGCCCGCCGGCATACGCGACTATCAGAAGAAGCTCGGATGCCTGCTATTCGCCGCCGTCACCTGCCGTCCTGACTTATCCTACTCCGCAAGTCAGCTCGCCACCTATCTCAAGAAGCCTGAAGCTGAACACCTGGCGGAACTTGATCGCGCTCTCCACTACTTCGTCAGCACCGCGACGATCGGGCTAACCTACCACAAGAGCGCAGCTACACCGACTAAGCTAATCGGCTACGTCGACGCCGATCACGCCGGCGACACCGACAACAGGCGCTCACGCACCGGCTATGTCTACCGCCTTGAGCCTATCGGTCCTATCTCCTGGCAGTCGAGCAAGCAGGAGTTAATCGCACTATCTTCAGCAGAAGCAGAATATATTGCACTCTGCTCAGCCACCAAGGAGGGACTTTACCTTCGCGAACTACTGGAAGAAGCGAAGCTAGCCGAGTTACCCAGCTTCACCGTGTTCTGCGACAACCAGTCAGCAATTCGCATCGCCAACAAAAACGGCTTCGCAAACAGGACGAAACACATCGCCCTGCGCTATTTCTTCGTGAAGGACGAGATAGAAAAAGGGAAACTCGATCTGTCATACTGTCCAACATCCGAGATGGCAGCCGATTACTTGACCAAGAAACTCGGCAAGCAGAAGTTCGAATACTGCATGATGCTGACTGGACAAGGCCACGTCACCAGCAGTAACACTCCAGAAGCGAAGGGGAGTGTTGGAAACAATAAGTCCTAAGTGCGCTTCTGTCGTATCAAAATCCAAGGTACCAAGCGAAGCAGTCCCAATCGAAGCATCGAGTCAACCTCGGAGGTTAGGGTAACCGCCTGGAGGTTACGAGAAAGTCAAAGGTCGCTGACCTTTGACTCGACAATTACAGCGCGACAGTTAAGGACACACAACTGACTCGTTACAGAGCAGTTGCCCGAGTCGCGCTATATCGAACCGCAACAGCAATACAGTTATCTATCTATTCCCTGTACTCTTATATAAATCCTTGTATTTGCTTGTTTAATTCAATCAACTTTGCTCTCACACACCAGTGCAAGGTCGGTTCAAATTCTTCACTAAACGCTTCCGCTATTACAACTACTTCACCTAGAGTTATCCCTTGCAAAGATCCTAAGGGGCTATCTCAGCCCAACATCAATAAGGCGAATTCAACCGACCATGCACCAAGTGGGATCGTGCATGGTTTTCAGGCAGAAACCGCAGCGGTTCGGTTTACCACCGCACAATGTTGTCTGGAAACATAGAATGTGACAGCCGTGACGATGATGTTGTCGTGCGGCCCAATCAGAGCCGCATGCGCTGCGAGGCATGTGCATTCGGGCAGAACCATCTCGAAGGTTCGGCAAGATTCTCTGCCAGCGCAGCGTAGATGCTGCCACGCAGGCGCCTCTACGGGAGTGGGCGGGGGTTTCCTGCCTGTCATCGACGAGGAACCCGAGCCGTCACACAGCAGGGGTCACCGTCGTTGCCCATTTCTTCACCCTCTTCTCTGATTTTTTCATTCAGTTCCTTGTCAACCCCGCCTGGCAGGCGAAGCCATGGCGGAATTTAGTGGGACGAGCATCCTCTTCAAGAAAAAGCCACGCCGCACATGGCGACTTACCGAAGACGGGTGGTATACCCGTGAGCCACCAGCGCCTCCAGTGCCACCGGATCCCCCTGCACCCCCTGCTCCTCCTGCTCCCCCTGCACCCCCTGCTCCACCCGCTCCTCCCGCACCTCCCGCTCCTCCGAATCCGCCTGCTTTTGCCACGGCAGGTGCTCACCAACGGCCCGTGCTCCAACTGTATTTACCAGCCACGTTCGACGAATGGTTGGCTGAAGCGGACACACCGAAGGCCCGCGATGCACGCATCCAAGCTCCAGCGACTGCACCACGGTGGGGACAACCAGAATCCTGCGCGTGGGATGAGTCGGCTGTGGGCGCCGACGATGATGTGGCTACCGATAAACATGACAGCGGCGCCGGCGAAGCTGGAGGCGACGGTGAAGCTGGTGGCGACGGTGCAGCGGGCGACGAGGAAGACGTGTTCCCCGACCGTGACGAGGACGAGGACGGTGTGGAGTCCTGGTGGCGCGACGCACCACGCGCGAAGATGCCGGTACCGACATATCCGCCCCTTAATAAAAAACGCCCCCACCCGTCTACCGAGAATCGAGATGCCCGCCCCCCCTCCCCCAGGCACAAGCTGAATCAACATAAGCGGCAGTCCTACACCGCCCAGGAGAAGTTGAGGTGGCTCGTGCGGCTCGAGCTTGCGGCTTCGGTGAGCGAAGTGGCGCGGGAGTCAGGCATTCACCGAAAATGTCTGACAGAATGGAAAGCCCAAGCGGATGCGCTCAAGGCTGCACACGGAGCACGGATGCGACTTCACGGGCGCGGGAGGTCGTCTTGGTACCGCCCCATGGAGTTAAAGGTGTACGCGCAACTCCTCGACTGGCGACGCCGCGGAGTTGCGGTTTCGGTCGGCCGGCTGCAAGAGTGGTCCAAAGAAGTGATGAAGGTTCTATACCCGGACGTCAAGTGGAAAGCCAGTCAGCGGTGGACGGAGCGGTTCCGCAGGCGGTGGAACCTCAGCGTGCGCATGAAAACAAAGGTGGCACAGAAAACACAGGAGCGTAAGTGGGTCGTTTACTGCTGATTTTGGTGGGTACCCGATTGCGCTTAGTTTTTTTCGCATGTCTCCTATGCGTCATACTAATTTGGTTTACTGTATGTACCTTTCTCCCTGTTCTGCAGACGTGGCTGAGCAGTGCAATGATTTTTGGCAGTACGTACGTGACGCCCGTCACGAATACGACATTGACAACCGCTACATCATCAACGCCGACCAGACACCGCTGTGGTTAGAGATGCCGGCGACGACCACCGTGGAGCAGACGGGCGTGAGGTCGGTGCCCATTCGCAGCGGTGGGTACCAGAGGTGGACGACGACATCCAGGCAGATGGGTTCTGGGGCAACAACTCCACGGAGCCTGAGTCGGACGAGGAGGAAGAAAAGGCAGTAGGGTAGACTAGGCAGGTTGAAAGGTGTAGTGCAGGACAGCAGAGACCACCCTTGTATGTGATAGTCATTCTTAATGGAAAGTTTAGAACATGTAGGCTAGGTAGGTTAAAAAAAATGAAATTCTTTTTTTTTTTTAAACTAAACGAGTGCGCTTATAATAAGTCAAGAATTCCAAAGGGGTGCGCTTATAATTGAGGATCGGCCATAAGCGCATTGCTCCAGATACAAGCGCATGCGCTTAACATAGGCCTGCGCTTCTATCCGGGGCCATACGGTAACCCTTTTCTGCCTTAGGGAAATTCATGTTTGTTAGTCATCAGTGATCACATTGCTCTCTTCTAATAAACAGCTTGTGAAGATGTGATTGCAATACAATATCATAACCCCTCTCCCAAACAAGATCTGTCAAAGAACAGCGAAGAAAAGAGCTGGTATGTCATTTGAGAGCAAGCACGAGTGCAGCAAGAAGAGCCAGTAGCACCCCCAGTACAGCCAACAACAGCGAAACAGCCCTGCCTGCTGAACCCTTCTCTCCCACCCCTGCCTTCAAGGCAATCATATCACTGCTGCCAGAGTCGCCAGGGCGGGTGCTGCTGTGTGGCTTGGCAGGTGCGGTTCCGGGGGGGAGCCACACAGCAGCACGTGCACCACTGCCCTCCATGCCACTCTGCTCCTCCTCTCCCTCCACCTGCCCCTCCCATTCCACCCCAACGCCCTGCTCCCTCACTGCCTCGTCTGCCACTGCCGCCATCCCACATAGCTCGCTACATCGCTCCTCTGCTGCCTGTGGGAGGGAGCAAGGCAGAAGGAATGCAGAGATGGGAAAGATGGGTGAAGTGAGGCAAGCGGGAAGCCGAAAGAATCACAGGAATGAAAAGGAGGGGAGGGGATATTAAGCACCACCACTGCAGTGCAGCACACAGCAGTCATCCTGGACCATCAGCCTTCTCCTCCTAAGAGCCCATTCACCCCATTGCACTGCTCTACCCCCCTCTCCTTCCCTCGCCTCCACTCCTCCCTCATGCGCACATGTGTCCTTCCGCCCCCCCCTCTGTCCCTTTCTCTCATCTCACCTCCACCCCTTCCCCCGATTCACAGTAGTCGGCCAGAAGCAAGCCCCCTTCCCCTTCCGCTTCCTCCTCCCCCTCACTTTCCCCCTGCCTCCCCCCTCCCCCAGCCACAGAGCAGCGCAGCAGCACCCGCCGGGGGAGGTGCCATCTGGTGAAGGGCGTCCTGTGCAGCTTGCCATTCAGCAATGGTCTCTCTGTCAACCCCCCCTCCTCCTCCACCTTCTCCACCTCCTCCTCCCCTAATTTCCTCGCCTTCCCATTATACTCTCCATCTGCCTCTCTTCCCTCCCCCCTTTTCTCCCCGTTCCCCCGGCCCTCCCCCTGCGCTGCCTGCTCCTCCTCCCCATCCTGCACCAGATCTAGTCTGCTCACCACACTGCGCACAGCATCGACCTGGAAGATATGTGAAAGGGCAGGGTGGGGTGGAAGAAAGAGAGGTAGAGAGAGTGCACTGAGGCACTCCTCCTCCTCCTGCACTAGGTCTAGCCTGCTCCACATCGACCTGAAATGCAAGAAGAGGGGGGGGGCGTGGGCGAAGGTAGTGAGACAGAGGGTAGTGAGACAGAGGGTAGTGAGACAGAGGGTAGTGAGACAGGGTAGTGAGACAGAGGATAGTGAGACAGAGGGTTGTGAGACATACGCTGCACCGCCCGCTCATACGCTGCACCGCCAGCTCATACGCTGCACCGCCAGCTCATACGCTGCACCGCCCGCTCATACGCTGCACCGCCCGCTCATACGCTGCACCGCCCGCTCATACGCTGCACCGCCCGCTCATACGCTGGGCAGTGAGACGGCTTTTAAGGTGGCTTGAAGGGGGATGGTGAGCGTGAGGCAGCAACGCACCTTGAGGCCGTACAGCACTGGGGAGAAGGGGTCTTGGGGCATGGCGAGTCGACTTGTGAGGCGGCTAGAAAAGAAGGCAGTGAGGAGACGCACCTTGAGATCGTGCAGCAGTCGGGAGAAGGGGTCTCGGGGCATGGCGAGGCAGAGCGCCAACACACCGCCTGACAGCGCCACCATGCCATGCACGTGCCCGTCCTTGGCATCTGCAGTGGTGGGAGAGGGCGTGGGAGATGAGAGCAGTGGGAGAAGGGAAAAAAAGCGCCAACACACTCCCTGACAGCGCCACCATGCCATGCACATGCCCATCCTTGGCGCCTGCAGCGGTGGGAGAGGGAAGACGAAGGAATGGCAGACACGGCTCAGCTTGAGAAGGGCATGGCGAGGCAGAGCGCCAGCACACTCCCTAACAGCGGCACCATGCCATGCACGTGACTAACCATGGCAAGGGGTCTCGGCGCATGGCAAGGCACATCGGTCCCTGACGTCTGCAGTGGCAGGGTGTGGTGGCGTGGGAGGGAGGAGGATTGCCATGTGATGGGTATGGGTACAGATGCATGCATGATGGGGTATGATGTTAGGGGGCTGATGGGGTGTGATGGCATCACTCTTACATAGGATCTTGGATATGAAAGGAAGGAACCTACCGTCCTGAAGAGGAACGTTCCAGGAAGGTGGGAGAGCCCAGTCCACACGCACATGACTGCCTCCCTCCGATGCCGCCTCCTCTCCTCCCTTCCCCCCTCCCCCTTTTCCCCCTCTCCCTCCCCCCTTCTTCCCCCCCTTGGCCCCCTTTCCTCCGCCACCCTTCCCTGCCTTCCCCGCCCCTCCTTTTGTGTTGCTCTCTCCCCCAACAACGTCCCCCCCTTCCACCTGAGTGGGGCAGACGTGTGGAGATGAAGGGGCGGGGAGGGGGCAACATGAGGAAGGGGAACAAAAAAAGGAGGCTGAGGAGGCGTAATGGAGGGGCGAGAGTGAGGGAAGTTCACAAGGGCGAGGGAATGTGTATATGCATACTATCCCATCATGTGGGTTGCAGAGACCATCCCATGCTTGAGGCGGAGATCATACATCCCATGCTTGAGGCGGAGATCATACATCCCATGCTAATGCCTTCAACCGAATGCCACGTTTGAAGTCAACCAATGGATTCTTTCAGTTGAGGACAATACCCCTTGTGCAAGATAGTAATTCTCATGCCATGCACCCACCATCATGCCATGCACCCACCATCATGCCATGCACCCACCATCATGCCATCAAGGAACGCCATGCCTCCATCCATCTGCCGGGCTATCTGCTTGAATGCAATCGCTGCTGCTGCTCGCACAGAGGCAGGCGAGAGGGTGGGAGGCGGAGGAGGAGGAGAGAGAGGAGCGGAGGAAGAGGAGGAGGGTGGGGGGAGTGATGGGGAGGAGATGACCGGAACTCTGGAGGAATGGGGATTTGGAAAGTAGGAGGGGAGGGAGGGGAGAGGAGAAGGTGTGAGAAGCAGCGCAGATCGGAGAGGTGGGTGATTGTAAGAACGCATGGGTCTATCAAGTGAGATGATTGCAACATCGTCCAAGGGGTAAGTGAAAAGAGAAAAGGTGGAAGGGAGGGTCAGGAGAGGGAGAGGCGTACTGAGCACGGAGGGAGAGTATTGAGGAGACGAGGATTGGTGAAGGGATGGAAGCGAGCTTGAAGTCGCATGGTGACATGGCAGCTGACGTGGCAGGTGATGACGTGGCAACAGATCGTGCTGAGAACCTGAGGAAACGTGAGGAGGTGACAAGGAGAGGGATTTGAAACGTGTGTTAAAGGGGGAAGGAGAGGACTGAGGAGACCTGAAGAATGGGGCATGTAAAATGGCAAGCCGTAAGGGATGACACGGCATGGCCTGGGACTATTATAAAGGCATCTGACCGGCGGGAGAAGGAGGAGATTTGCAGCAGAATGAGGTCGGTGGGGAGAGGGGGCAGCAGGGAGGTAAGCAAGGCGGGCGGAGAGAGTGAGGAGATGTGCAGCAGGATGAGGCACGGCATGGTAAGGCATGGCAAGGGCATCTGACCGGCGGGAGAAGGAGGAGATGTGCAGCAGAATGAGGTCGGTGGGGGGAGGAGGCAGCAGGGCGGCGAGTGAGGCGGGAGGAGAGAGTGAGGCTGCAAGCGAACGCAGGGCCTGGTGAGGAGAAGGGGGTGGAGAGGGGTGGAGATGGGTGGAGAGGAGAGGGATACAGAGGGATGAAGGAAGTGAGGTGAGACAAGAAGGAATTACAAATGGGAAAGCTGTACAACCGGGCTGAATGGCTTCCCGCACGCCAGCCAGCCAGCAAGCACGTGGCATGCATGAGACATGCATGAGGCATGCATGAGGCATGCATGAGGCATGCATGAGGCATGCATGAGGCACGAGAAGACATGGTAATGGATGGCATGGCATAGCACAGCGACTGATTCACTTCTGAACGTCAAAGGAGCGCTCTGCCATGCAGTTCGCGAGGAGGGCACCCGTACCTGCAGCAAGGAGGGTGTGGCGTTGCTATAGGCGGCATCGGAGCAGAAGGCGTACACCCCCAACACGCCCATGCCTCCCAGCAACAGCCGTGACACCTGTTGCAGAGGGGGATGAGGAGGGGGGGAGATAGCTTACACAGGGTGAGGGGAGCAAGGCGTTGCAGGCGACACACGAAGGCGCACACCCCCAGCACGCCCATGCCTCCCAGCAACAGCCGTGACACCTGCAGCAGGAGAGATGGGAGGGAGGAAATCGGTGATGCAGGCAGGGCGAGGGGAGTGCAGGCAGGGCGAGGGGAGTGCAGGCAGGGCGAGGGGAGTGCAGGCGGCACATGTGTGCTGTCATGCATGCATGTGGATGACGGTCGTGCAGCCCAGATGCGCCTGCCGTCTGCACGTGCCAGACGCAGGCGCGGCCGTACCTGCAGTGCAGCAGGGTGAACAGGGGAGGACGGACGGAGCCCGTGGAGTGAAGCAGACGACACGACCCATTTATGCACATGGCAGGGAAGGGACTGCCCTGGCAGCGCATGCGAGGGAATGCATGGCAGCTAGGAGGAGCAGGAGATGGGAGTTGAGACAGGGAGGGTCAAGGATGGAGAAAGCGAGGCATGGCGAGCGGAGGGGGGACCGAGGAGAGAATAATCGACGGGGAGAGGCGGAAAGATGATGATCACAGGCACAAAGTGGGGGCGCTTCACTTGAAGGGTAAGTTTTCTGCCTCGGAAAGACTTAGGACACGTGGTAACCAGCTCACGTGGTAACCAGCTCACGTGGTAACCAGCTCACATGGTAACCAGCTCACGTGGTAACCAGCTCACATGGTAACCAGCTCACGTGGTAACCAGCTCACATGGTAACCAGCTCACATGGTAACCAGCTCACATGGTAACCAGCTCACGTGGTAACCAGCTCACCTGCAGCGCGTGTTCCGCCACCCAGTCGCCGTCCACATGCCGCCACTCCCTCGCATCCGATCCGCTCCTCTCTCTGCTGCCCGCAACTGGCGCCGCCGCTCCTGGCGCTTCGGGCGTCGGCACGAGCGCGAAGAGGATTTCGCGGGAGGCGCCGGATGCGGCGGCGGCGGAAGAGGAGGAGTAGGAGGAGGACGATTGAGAAGCGATGCTGGAGCGGCCGATGAGCAGACCCAGCTGGTGGGCGGAGGGAGACATGGGAATGGAAGAACAGTACGAAGAAATAACGTCAGATCGATTCCATTTGGGACGCATTAAGGAGCAAACGGGGCTCTCACTGCCAGTAGTGCGCTCCCCAATGTAAACTCCGTGCAGTTTGACGTTGCCTCAACGAGCATAGCATCCGGAATCCGTCGCAGTGCGAATGCCTACATCTCGCCGGACCGTCCGTCACCTACCGTGCCTACATCGCTATGACCTCCTGCCGCGTCGCGTCGTACCTCCCATGTCGCCTTCTCGCGGAAGAGCTTGTCCACGTGGCGCTGGATCGCCGCCTCGTCCGCCACCACCGCGCGCCCCATCGCGACCGCGCCTTACCGTTGCGCGGCTAACGCGCTATTGCGCCTTACTGTGGCGCGGCTAATCTTCACTTGATAGAGACCTAAGAACTGACTCGGGAGTAAGGCATTCGATATCTAGATATGATGCTGTGATTTGTATGCGCGCAAAAACCAACTTGGGACGCGGGCTGGAAATTCCGGATTCAAGGGTCACCTAATCCAGCCCAACCCACCCCAACTCAACCCAAACTACCTAAACCCAACCCAACCTCCCAGCACTTATTTCATTTCCACCCGTCGTCCATTTCGATTTGCGTGCTACCGTACTGCACCTTGGCAGTATACAGCTCACTCAGATCACAAACATTCGATTCGAAGCCACACTCGCCATCGCCCAAACCCAGCTGCACTTCAATCTACCGCCACAGGCGCAGATCGCGGACGTGATGGCGACAACGCAGATGCTTCTTCGATTGTAGGCCGACTCGCAGCATTTACCCGAATCGTCGCTGGATTGCTTTCCCAGTACTAGCTCGTCTAGTAACCCGATTTCGTGGGTGCCTTAGCTGATCGCAAGCTTACTATCTCTCCGGTTTGTGATCGCCCGCGATCATTTGTTCCGCCTTCCGTTCCACGCAATTCAAGATGATCTCAAGTTTCAAATCCGCAATCACTAGCTTTCCTCGCGCTCCACCGCTCTCCGCTCGCGACGCGCCGCGTCGTCCGCTCCGTCAGCCCATTCCGCGGTAAGCCGTCAGCCCATTCCGTTCACCACTATCGCCCAGCATCCGCGCGTGTTTTTTGAGTGGGGAGGGGGGAGGGAGAGATTGCATGGAAGGAGAATGAGAGGAGGAAAGGCGTCTTCGTCACGTGCTGCAAGCGCCGTAGTTGCTGGGTTTCCTGCCGCTGCCACCACTAGTGCTGCTGCTGGGTATGGTGTGAGCGTGGGTGGGTGAGAGTGGGTCGGCGGGTGGGAAGGAGAGAACGCAAGGGTAGAAACTGGAGGGAGTGAGAGGGAAAAGGGGGGAATGAGAGGGCAATAGGAGGAACGAGGGGAAAATAGGAACGACCGGGGTGAAACAGAGATGAGAGGAGAGAGAAGGGAGAGTGTACGCCCCCATAAGACCCCTCCTTTCTCCCCAGTGACCATGTTCTTCCAGGTATCCCTTCCCGCTCTGCCATTGTCTTTAGAAAAAAAAAAACTTATATCTGTGAAAATATTCTCCCCCTTCCCTTTTACGCCCCCCTCCGCGCACCCCCTGCCAACAGTATTGCCATCACCGCACGCCTTCCCTGCAGACGGTCTGCTCTGCAGCTTTGCTGACGTGGCCGCCAGGCTCGAGAGGCATGTGGGGAGGGGACGGGAGGTAGGTGGGATGGGGGTTGGTGGGGGAGGGTGGTTGTGCCAAGCTCACCTGCTCCTACTTCATACCACCCTCTCCCTCCCACCCACCTCCCTTGGTTCCACCTCCACCACCCCCACCGCCCTTCCCCACTCCGAACCTATCCGCCCTCTGCGCTCCATGTGCCACCACTGCCACTGCTCCACTTGCTCCCCGGCCTGCGTTGCTGCCACTCCAACCCGTCTGCCCCGTGCACTGCACTGTGTGCTCACCTGGCGCCCGCGCCCACCTCGCGTCGCCCTCCGTCCTCCACTGCTCTGCCGTGCAGCATGCACTCCTCCTGCCGTGCAGCAATGCACTCCCTCCTGCCGTGCAGCAATGCACTCCCTCCTGCCGTGCAGCAATGCACTCCCTCCTGCCGTGCAGCAATGCACTCCCTCCTGCCGTGCAGCAATGCACTCCCTCCTGCCGTGCAGCAATGCACTCCCTCCTGCCGTGCAGCAATGCACTCCCTCCTGCCGTGCAGCAATGCACTCCCTCCTGCCGTGCAGCAATGCACTCCCTCCTGCCGTGCAGCAATGCACTCCCTCCTGCCGTGCAGCAATGCACTCCCTCCTGCCGTGCAGCAATGCACTCCCTCCTGCCGTGCAGCAATGCACTCCCTCCTGCCGTGCAGCAATGCACTCCCTCCTGCCGTGCAGCAATGCACTCCCTCCTGCCGTGCAGCAATGCACTCCCTCCTGCCGTGCAGCAATGCACTCCCTCCTGCCGTGCAGCAATGCACTCCCTCCTGCCGTGCAGCAATGCACTCCCTCCTGCCGTGCAGCAATGCACTCCCTCCTGCCGTGCAGCAATGCACTCCCTCCTGCCGTGCAGCAATGCACTCCCTCCTGCCGTGCAGCAATGCACTCCCTCCTGCCGTGCAGCAATGCACTCCCTCCTGCCGTGCAGCAATGCACTCCCTCCTGCCGTGCAGCAATGCACTCCCTCCTGCCGTGCAGCAATGCACTCCCTCCTGCCGTGCAGCAATGCACTCCCTCCTGCCGTGCAGCAATGCACTCCCTCCTGCCGTGCAGCAATGCACTCCCTCCTGCCGTGCAGCAATGCACTCCCTCCTGCCGTGCAGCAATGCACTCCCTCCTGCCGTGCAGCAATGCACTCCCTCCTGCCGTGCAGCAATGCACTCCCTCCTGCCGTGCAGCAATGCACTCCCTCCTGCCGTGCAGCAATGCACTCCCTCCTGCCGTGCAGCAATGCACTCCCTCCTGCCGTGCAGCAATGCACTCCCTCCTGCCGTGCAGCAATGCACTCCCTCCTGCCGTGCAGCAATGCACTCCCTCCTGCCGTGCAGCAATGCACTCCCTCCTGCCGTGCAGCAATGCACTCCCTCCTGCCGTGCAGCAATGCACTCCCTCCTGCCGTGCAGCAATGCACTCCCTCCTGCCGTGCAGCAATGCACTCCCTCCTGCCGTGCAGCAATGCACTCCCTCCTGCCGTGCAGCAATGCACTCCCTCCTGCCGTGCAGCAATGCACTCCCTCCTGCCGTGCAGCAATGCACTCCCTCCTGCCGTGCAGCAATGCACTCCCTCCTGCCGTGCAGCAATGCACTCCCTCCTGCCGTGCAGCAATGCACTCCCTCCTGCCGTGCAGCAATGCACTCCCTCCTGCCGTGCAGCAATGCACTCCCTCCTGCCGTGCAGCAATGCACTCCCTCCTGCCGTGCAGCAATGCACTCCCTCCTGCCGTGCAGCAATGCACTCCCTCCTGCCGTGCAGCAATGCACTCCCTCCTGCCGTGCAGCAATGCACTCCCTCCTGCCGTGCAGCAATGCACTCCCTCCTGCCGTGCAGCAATGCACTCCCTCCTGCCGTGCAGCAATGCACTCCCTCCTGCCGTGCGCCTCGCCTCATCCTCCACTCCCCCACTCCTCCCCACTCTCTTCCTGCATCTGCATCAAACTCCCGACTTGCCATTCACACCATTCCTGCCTTCTTCCCCTCCACTTCCCCCTGTGTTCCCTACACTCTTCCTCCTTCGCACACCCTTCTCTTCGCGATCCACACCCCCAGCGAGTGCCAGCGTGGTGGAGCAGTATAGTGACGTGGCAGCGGTGCACATTACCCTGTGGGCACCAATGTGCCTTGGTAAAATCTGGGGATGAACTAAGTGGTGCGGGTCATGCCATGCGTAACGTAACGGCAGCTGCACCGCAGCATTGTGTGCCCTAGCTGGTCGCAGCATTGTGTGCCCTAGCTGGTCGCAGCATTGTGTGCCCTAGCTGGTCGCAGCATTGTGTGCCCTAGCTGGTCGCAGCATTGTGTGCCCTAGCTGGTCGCAGCATTGTGTGCCCTAGCTGGTCGCAGCATTGTGTGCCCTAGCTGGTCGCAGCATTGTGTGCCCTAGCTGGTCGCAGCATTGTGTGCCCTAGCTGGTCGCAGCATTGTGTGCCCTAGCTGGTCGCAGCATTGTGTGCCCTAGCTGGTCGCAGCATTGTGTGCCCTAGCTGGTCGCAGCATTGTGTGCCCTAGCTGGTCGCAGCATTGTGTGCCCTAGCTGGTCGCAGCATTGTGTGCCCTAGCTGGTCGCAGCTGCTGCATTGTCCTTGAGGCATGTGGCCACATGTGAATGGATTTGACATCTTTTGCACCTGATTGCCTCCAACTGCGCATGTGAATGCTGTGAGCATGTGAATGCTGTGAGCATGTGAATGCTATATGCATGTGAATGCTATATGCATGTGAATGCTATATGCATGTGAATGCTATATGCATGTGAATGCTATATGCATGTGAATTCTATATGCATGAGAATGCTATATGCATGTGAATGCTATATGCATGTGAATCCTATATGCATGTGAATGCTGTGCGCATGTCAATGCTGTGCGCATGTCAATGTTGTGCGCATGTGAATGCTGTGCGCATGTGAATGTTGTTCGTCTTCCGTGCCACGCACGCCATTCCATGACGCATGTATTCTCGATCACCACTCTGCAACGGTCATGTTCCAAGCCCCTTCTCTCCACACACCCCACTCCAATCTTTTCCAACCCTCTCCAACTCTCAGCCGTTCAGAGTGTTCCCACCGCGCAAGTCCAGGGAGCAAGGCGGAGGGGCACGTTTGATGCGGGGCTTGCGTGGCCCGCCAGGCACCATGCAGGTGGAGGGGCATGTGGGGCACATTTCCATCTCAGTAATTTCCTTAAGCACTTGTTTTCATCCATGCCCTCACGCCATCCCCCCCTGCAATTTTTGCGTCACCTCCCCCCCCACCCCTCGTACTTCTCCCGCAGTCCCTTCCATTATTTCACCCGCCTCCCATCTCTTTGTTTCCCCTGCCATGCTATTTCTCATGCCCATACCATCCCACTGCCCTTCCTCTCATCCCCCCTCATTCTTCTTTACCCTCCCTCACTCAACACCATCCTCCCTCAAATTTTCACCATCCTCCCTCACACACCTTTATTTTTTCACTCACCCGTGATCTTGCTCACTCATCTTAATGGTCCCTCACTCAACCCCATGCTCACATCGCAGGCCCACGAGGCAGATGAAGCTGCCAGGAAAGCAGCAAAGAAGCTTTCACAATGAAGAGGAACTAGGTCACAAGAGTTTGTGCTTATATGGCATGGTGCATATCAATCGTAGCTAACAACTTCACCATAGTTTACTCAGTGTTCACCCCCCCCTTTACTACCGTATGTGTCGTGCAGCTCAGCAGTTCAGCATCACACAAACTATCTCCTGCCCATTCAACGCTTGGGCTTCCACTCATCCGCAACCCAAAGCTCTCCGCAGAGCAGGTTTTCCCAGAACGTTCACCACGCAGGCCTTTTGAGGTGCTGCTTGCTGTGCGCAGTCTAGGACAATTTGATGGTGTTTGGTAGTATTTGGGGTGAGAGTGATTTGAATAGATATGATGGAAACAGAAATGGCATGCCAATCTGAGTGCTAATCTCATGGTTCCCATGTTCGCGAGTTCCCGTGAGTTTGCACGGGGAGCTGTGCTGTGTTGTGTTGCATTTCTGTGCATGATGTACTACCAGCAAGCTGAGAACGTGTATAAGCTTTCTCAATTATTGATGCTGCCCTAGGTTACATGCATTGCAGTGACAGGATGGAATAGGTATAGAATACGTAGAACATCTGTGTAAAGGACACTTCGTGTTCAGATTGAAAGAAAATAATTTGATATTTCATGAACTAGAAGATGGATGGCAGCAAGCAACTACCTTTCACTTACGTACGACCAGCTAATGCCTAGTTCTCTACAGAAGCATTCCTTCCTGCACTATGCAGTATAGCACCAAACCAAAGCCATATGCTTCTAAAAGTACAACCAGCGTATTTATTCTTCTTCGAGCCACCGTATTGGCTATCCGCATGACTCACTGCTGCACCAACCATCCTTCCTACCCATGAATGTGTGTCAGTGCTTGAGAAATAAAGCCCCAGCCAGCCACCTAGTATGAAAGCAGCCCCGCCAGCTCCTCACTCCCACACCATCACCTGTCCCTGCTGCTGCATTTGCCCCCCCATGTGCATATGTGTATGTGGGTGCATGTGTGGTTGCGGCTGCATGTGCATTTGGGATGGAGTCCCTGCCATGCCATCCACCATGCCATCAGCATCTGTGTTGCAGTATGCACTGCCATTACCCATGCCATTACCCATGTCATTCCCCATGCTATTCCCCATGTCATTTACCATGCCATTCCCCGTCTGCGTGTGGGAAGGGGGTTGCCATGCACTTGGTTGTGCATGCATCATGCCATCTCCCACATATGAGCCAAGGGATGGATCCATGCCATTCCCCATGCCATCTCCCACATACCCGCTTTGAGATGGACCCATGCCATTCCCCATGCTATTGACCATGCCATTCCCCATGCCATCGCCCATGCCAACCCCCATGTCATCGCCCAAGCAAGTGTTGGGAGGGACGCCCATGCCAGTCCCCATGCCATCCCCCATGCCATCACCCATATCATCCCCATAACCATCGCCCATACCATCACCCATACCATTCCCCATACCATCAACCATACCATCACCCATACCATCACCTATTCCATCCGCAATACCATCCCCCATACCATCCCCTATACCATCCCCCATGCCATCACCCATGCACGGGGATTGGTCTGCAAGGCACGCGGTGCGCAGAAGGGTGTGGGGCGACACGGGGCATCCAACGGCCAGGATGAACCGCAGCGACGGGCAGTTGAGGCGGCAGCCGTAGGCAGATGGGTGCAGTGCGGTGCAGGAGTTCACATTAAGGTGCTCCAGCTGTGGGCAGTCCAGGACAAGCGTCTGGAGGGGCAGGCAGAGGAAGGGGGGGCATGGGAGGGAAGGGGGCATGGGAGGGGAGGTTAGAACCAAGTCAATGGCTCTATGCTTGTCCAATTGCAGCATGAAGTGTTGATCAGCAGCGCACGGAGCAGCATGGCACGAGCCTGAGATCCCTTTGTGTCACCCCTTGAAGCAAGCAGTCACCCCTCACCTGCAGCAGAGAGCAGCCCCAGAGACTGAGCTTCCTCAGGCTGCTGCTGCGCAGCTCTAACCGCCGCCCCTCCCCTCCTGCCGCCACTCCTCTTGTCGTGCCTGTTGCGCTTGATGCCCCCATACCACTGCCCTCCCCACCCCCCATGTATCCGTTGCTGCCTTCACCCCCCGCTCCCCCCATTCCCCCATCCATCCCCATCCCCATCTCCCCCTGATAATCGCCCCCCGCGTCCCCCCACTGTCCCCCGCCGTTCCCCCTCCACCCGTCCGCCATGCCCCCTGCGCCCATGGCGGACGTGGTGCTGGCGGCGCTGGCGAGGGTGGGGGAGGGCGAGGGGGCGCGGGGGAGCAGCGACCGCCCCACGTCTAGCAGCTCCAGATTGGGCAGGCGCTGCACCAATGCCTGCACGCCACGTGGCGTGATGCCAGGGCAGGCGGCGAGGAGGAGGTGTGTGAGGGAGTGAGAGAGCGAGGCGCTGGTGTGGGGGAAGGGAGGAGGGGAGAGAAAAAGGGGAATAAGGAGGAGATTGATGAGTGTATTGTGCATGAGAGAGGGAACGGAGAGGGAGAGAGAGAAAGGCAGGGTGAGAGTGCACATAGCAAAGGAGAGCAACAGCAAAGCCGCACCTGATGGCGTGGAGGGCGGCGTCTGAGAGGTTGGGCGAGGCGGAGAGGTCCAGGTGCTGCAGATGCGGACAGGCGCGACAGATGTCCGCCACGCCCTCTGATGCGCGTGCATGGGGGAGAGGGAGGGCGCACGGGGGATATAGAGGGGACGCATGAGCGGGAATGGGTGGGTGCGGAAGGACGCGATGCGAGGCGAGACGAGAGAGGTTGAGGGCGGAAGGGGAAGGGGAGGGCGAGTGGGTGTACCATCGGTGAGCGAGAGCGAGTGCGTGATGGAGAGCGCGCAGAGCGACTGCCCGTGTGCGCGCACCAGCGCCGCCACCATCTGCGCTCACACGGCATTGCATGAGACGCGAGGAGACGAGGGGATGAGACGAGAGGAGACGAGAGGAGAAGAGGAGATGAGGGGATGAGTTGGCGAGGGGACGAATAGTGGAGGGTTGGCAGGAGCAGGTGGCATGAGATGAGCGCACGTCCGGAGAAGGAGTGCGGCGGAAGGCGCGAGGAGGACAGCACGGCCCTCGCACCAGCGACACACTGCAAGCATGCGACGCGGCGTGTGCAACGAGAGCTGGAAGCGCGTACCGCGTCGGTGGTGTAAGGTGACGCGATGTGCAGGCGCTCGAGAGGCGCCGCAAGGCTCGCCACGTGGCTGATCACCGCCTCCGCGTGCGCGGGATCTCCGCTCATCTGCGCGCTAGCGTGCGCGTGCGTCTGGGAGCACGTGCGCGCGGGCGGAGCGGCGGAGGGCGGAGCGGGCGCGGGGAGGAGGGAGAGCGAGAGGCGCTGCAGCGCGGGGCACGCGAGGGAGAGGCGCGAGAGGCGCGCGCAGGCGGAGAGAGTCAGCGCCGTCAAGCTGGGGGAGGCGGAAGGAGGGGGGACAGGGGGGATGGAGACAAGGAAGAGGAGTGTGGGTTGAACGCGGAGTCGGCAAGAGAAGGGAGAGAAGGGCAAGAAGAAAGACACCCGAGCGTGATGGTGTGGCAGCGAGTGGACTGTTGAGGGGTGGTGCGCGCAAGCCGAACAGCCCACCACGCGTGGCACGGTGTGATGATATGGCATGGCTTGGCGAGTGGTGCGACTGCGACGGGCGACTGCGACGGGAGACGGGACGCTTACGACTGCGAGGCGACGGTGAGCGACGGCAGCGCGATGCATCCGTCCATGTCTACGGCGCGCAGCGACGCGCACCCATGCAGCAGCGCCGCCATGCCGTTGCTGGGGAGGGGAAGCGGGTGAGGAGAAGAGGGGGGGAGGCGGGGGAGAGACAGAATGGAGAGAAGGATGGGCAGAGGGTGAGCCGAGGAGCGGAGACAGCACGGGGTCACACAAGTGGCGAAAGCTATGAGAATTCTGTTCCGTGGGTGAGTCCGGTCACTCCTCAACGTGGTGTCAGAAGAGTAACTCACTCCGTGACGTGGCATGCGACATTGGGCGCTGTGCGAATGACGAGCGACTCCAAGTAGGGCTGCTCGGCGGCTATGCGATGCAGCAGGCGATCGTCCACGCATCTGGCGACAAAGGAACAGCAGGAGAAGAGGAACGAGAGCAGGAGGAGCGGCGTGAGAACCACAGTCACGGGGAGCAGAAGGAACAGGATCGAGTTGAACCAGGAGAGGAGACGAGAGGACAGCACAGCAGCATCGCGGCAAGACGAGGCGAGACCAGACGAGCCGAGTCGCGACCAGAGCAGGTCGTACCTGGCGGCTTGCAGCGAGAGGTGCACGAGGCGCGGGCAGCGGCGCAGCATGAAGGGCACGTAGACGAGCGCGTCCGTCGCGAGCGACGGCGTCGCGTCGAGCGACAGCGCCGCCGCCTCCACGTTGCCCCAGATCTCCGCCGCCAGCCGCCGCCACCGCCGACAGCAGCTGCTCGCGCTCAGTAGGTCGCGCGGGGGCAGCTGAAACGGAGAGAGGCGTGGGGGAAGGTGGATTAGTGAGAGGAGGGCGCGGGACGGCTGAAAAGGGCAGCGACGGCGCGTGAAACGCGGCTCGTGACGTGGCGAGATTTCGGATAACGTGGGAAATAATGATAAATCACAGGAACAACGGGTTGTAGGCGGGACATAACGGGATATTAAGGCCAGTACCTTGGCGAGAATGTTGAGCATGCACATATCCTGGGGACTCCTCTGCACCACCGGCCGCACGGAACCCGCCGCTGCCGGCCCGCTCACCCTGCACGACGCACCAATGCGCGACGTCAGAACGTGAGAAACAAGACGGCATGCAGGCATACAGGCAGGGAATTCCGCGGCAAGCAGTCCCGCGTTGAATTGCGCTGACTCGAGTTTACTCGAGGAGGATTGAGAGTGGACATAGCGCGACCAGAAGCAGCGTACTCACCCGGGGGGACCAGGGCGGAGGCTCGAGTGGGAGAGCGGCGGGAGGCTGTGCGGGGAGGCGCAGTGGGGCGCCATTCTCGAGGTGATGGCGCCGTGCGCGTTGCCGTGCGCGTGGGTGTGTGCGGCGGGGAAGGAGAAGTTGGAATCCGACAAGCCGCTGCGACTGGCGGATGCGAGGGGCGGGAGTAGAGGCCGAAAGGGGGGAGAGAGCGGTTATGAAGACGGGAGGAGAATAGCCGTAAGGCATAGTCCAATTACAGCTTTGCCTGAGCGTGGAGAAGATGCGAGTGGAACGGACACATGGCGAAACGGCGAAGCGTTTCCAGCTTATGGGCGCGCGAATATAAAATTCTCGGCCTTGCATGATCAATAGCGGACTTCGCGCTACTTTGCTTCAGTACCTGGGGAGGCTGCGGCACGATGCGGTGAGCGCGGGCGCGGTGAGGCTTATATGCGCGTTCGGCCCGCCCTGGCACGCGGAGGAGCGTCCGCCGTCCGCAGTGTAGGCGTTGGCGGAGTCCGCGGGGCCGGCGGAGGCGTCGGGGAGGCGCAGCGGCTGCATGTTCCCCATGCTGCACGACGCGGGCTTGCGCAGGTCCGCGCGGGTGATCCCGCTGGGCGAATCGAATCCGCAGTCGCGGGAGTTGCCGCACGCGCCGCCGCACGATGGGTCGCCGCATCCGACGGAGGACGAGGGGTTGGGTTGATGAGAGTGGGTGTTCGCGTGGTGCGGATTGGACTGACACGGACGACGGGCGTACGGCGGTGCGGGAGACGGTGACGTTAGCGGGCACACGTGGCCTTTCTTAGGCTGGCCGCAGCGACGGCAGCGGTACGAGCCGCGTAGCCTTTTAGGAGTGGGCTCGAGCGCGCTAGATGTTTCCCGCTGCCGCTCCTCCTGCCACTGCTGCCATCGGTCGTTGCTCTCGTTATCCACGTCAGCATTAGCGTGTGTCCCGCGCACGTCCATGGATTCTGACTGCGATGCGGCTGGGCCAAGTGACGCGGCGTGGAGAGGACTAAGCGCGTCGCTATGGCCCGCTCCCGGCGGGCGCGGAGCGTTGCAGGCGGACGCTATGGACGTAACGGGGAGCGTAATCGGGCTGGCGATACTAGGACCCATCACCTAAATTGCCAACGTGGTGCTTTTTAGAAACTACGGCTTACGAGTCTGGTAATGCGACCGCTGCATAACCAGCGGCGCTGCAGAGAGATTCGCAAGCCAGACTGCTCGCTGCTGGAGTTATTGCTAGAAGGGAATTTGCAAAAACAGATTAATAAGCTGGATGACTCGCAATTCTAATATCATGCCTCAAATGGGTGGTTCCGTTGACCGAGCAATGTTACTCCTACAGAGGAACCATCGACCAAGATTGTGGACTTGACTGTATCTCACATGTAGCACAAAGCGTGTGTACACATTAGGGAGCTGCCAAGCGTAGTCCTGACCATGGCTGCTCTGCAATGAGTCCATACGCTCTGCCCAAGGCCACGACGCCACACAGCACGCCACCAGGAGCAGTCGCACTGCGAATTCTCGAAGCATCAAATGTAGTCGACGGCGACAGCGCAAGCGACGCGCTCCGTTGTTCGCCTCTGCGGGTTCTGTCTGAGCCCAAACCCAACTGCCTGTTCTGTCTGCCCCAGAGACTGCCGTGCCTCGCCTGATGTCGTCATCGACGCCTGACGGGCATCCATCCGCGCATCAAACCGTTCTGATCGCTTCACCCCATGCCTCTGGCCCCTGTGCTCTCCGCTGGTCTGTTCCCCGTTGCTGCTAATTGGCCCGCCAAACTGGAGCTTCTGCGGAGCCTCTGGCCAATCATGAGAGAGATATGGGGGGGCAGGCGGAGGAGATGGGGGAAGATGGTGTCTGAGCTACACACATCCGGGTCGCGATGAGGGGGAAGTGACGAGTCGCGACCAGCCCAGGGGGAAGCGATGTTCGAATTGCTCTGGCGACAGACACTCACAGCACCAGCGAGTCGCGGGTTTTTTTTCATTGGCTTTGGGGTCAGGGATGCCACCGTGGCACTGTCAGGTCGAGATGCCGGTTTGGCGGGGTTTGTTGAAAATTTTGAGGGGCGAAATTCCAGAGCGACACGAAGAAGAGTCAATCCAGGAGTTTTGATGGCTGGCAGGTGCTGTTTCAGCCACAGAATGAGTGTGCTCAATTTGAATGTGGCGAGCTGGTGTTGTTGAGTTTGGTCAATAAACGGGTCATATCCGTAACAATGTTACGGGTGCAATGAATCGAGGTAGCGAGAATTGCACTAAGGTGTCAAACGAGTACAAAATGTGAGCGAAGGCATGAGCGAACATTTATACGCGAAACATGCAAAACGGTAACGCGGTGCGTGCGAGCTTGCTAGTGCTACGCTGGAGCGAGGCTCGGGCTAGTCCCGAAGCGTAGGCCGATACGGCCATGCCAGCAGTGCGAGGTTTGGTAAAACAGTGCGCGCGAAGTCGGCGAAGTTCCGTTAGCAGTAACGGGCGAACAATCGGCTGTTGCTGTACGCGATGTAGTCGGCTCCGTAAGGAATGCCGAGAAAATTCCTTACAAACAACCACCAAAGCGCACCAGCGTAGAATGATCTTTATTACACTGAGCTTTGCATACTACATCATATTTTCATTATTCTCTAGATGGGGGGTCCTCTAATGTTACAAGCAAGCATTATACCTACCTCTACCTGTCACAAACATAATGCGCTCATGCTGGAACGTATGATTCCAACATGAGCCTTGCTGGAGATGGGCTCATTACATCAACAAGAAGGTACGTGAACTTCCAAGCTCCGCCGTCATCGCTGTCTTTAAACATCTCAGCGTGCACAAGGCCCGTGCCCCCTGTACCTCGGATGTGGAATTGAACCTGCCACAAATGAGCACAACAAAATATGGCAGGCAGGGCAATGGAACACAGAGGGACACCACAATGAGCGACCGGACCGATCTCGAAAAAGAAAGAAACAAGAAATCTTGTGAACCAGCATGCGAGGTGTACCTGGATCCGCTCCACCCCTTCTTCATCCGTCCACACGCGGTGGCTGATTCGCTGCCGTGCCGCCCGGTTCCTGCTCTCCTGGCCGTACCCCGTGATGGGCGACCCCAGCCGCGATATCACCTGACGGCCATGGCAATGCAAGGTTGATTCAAATCCATGGCATGTAACGAGGAGCACGAGGAACAGTGTGAAATTAGCAGGCACCCAGCAGGAGAGGGCTTGGGAAAAGAACAGCTGAAGCAGGTGCTACAAACCGGGGAAAGCATTTGTGGAACGCAAATCAGAAGGTTTTGTGCAGCTTTGTAGGCGTGCACAGAAGAAGATGTGTGCAAATGGATGTGGGGCGCACCTGAGGGTCGTTCTGCACGCGCTGAAGGGCCTTATTGAACACCTTGTATCTGCAGCGTAGCAAGCACACGAGTCCATCAATGCAAGGCATGAACATGCAGTACCAAAGTACATCATTCCTCCCTCTCACAGCCAATTAGCAGGCACATGCTTTCACAATGACATGCAAAGCAAGCAACCCGCAACCCCTCTATTCTTAACCCACAGTTCCCCTCCCCATCTGTGCACATGCACTCCTTGGGCTCCAGCAGCAGCTCCTTGACAACAAAATACACAATAGAACCGGCCCCCCTCCCTCCCCTCACACTTTCCCTCCTCCTCCCCCCCCATCCCTTTGCCCCACAGACGCACTCCTTGGGTTCCAGCAGAAGCTCCTTGATGACAAAATACGCCGCCCCGGCCGCCACAGCCAGTGCTGCCAGGATGACGATCGAGTAGGATGCGCCCTCAGCGGCGGAGACAGGGCGCTCGGGAATCTTATCAGTGATGCTGCTGAACACGTCCTCCTCCTCCTGCCGTACCACCTCCCTCCTGCTGCCGCTGTCCTTGTTGCTGCTCCCCTGTGTGGCATACTGCCGATGCTGCTGGGGGAAAGCATGGGGGGGAAAGCGATGGCATACCTCCTGCCTCCCGGTACCTCCCTCATTGCCCCTGCTGCTGCTGCCGCCCTGCGTGGCGTACCGCCGATGCTGCTGCAGTAAAGCATGGGGGTGGAGAGAGAGTGAGTGGGTGGTGGGCACTGCTACTGCCACTGCTGACCTTGCTGCTGCTGCTGCCACCTTGTGAGGCGTATCACCGATGCTGCTGCAGGGCAAGCATGGGGGGCTGGGTGCGAGCTGCATAGTGGGGCATGTCATACATGGTGGGGCATGTCATACATGGTGGGGCATGTCATACATGGTGGGGCAAACCTGACTTCGCCCCTGGGATATAACATTCCAACCAACCTCCTACCTTCAACACCTACCATGGCAACCCAACTCAACCCAACCCAACCTACCCCAACCCAAACCACCCCACGCACCCCACCTCACCTGCTGCATTCCAGTTGCTGCTTCCACTGGTCGCAGCACCAACGGCCGCATGCCATGTGGCAGGCGGAGAAGTAGCGCGGCGCTCAGCTGCTGTGGCTGTGTGCACGAGTGAAAGGCAGCGGCGGTTACCGGACTGAGACTCATGCGCCCTCCACCCACAACCTGCACACGAGGCCATCCCAACAGGGGCTGCTGAGGCTGTGACCCCCATGGTTTACAGAGCAGCGCGTGGGCGGGTGACGGGGGGACGGCATGGGGGAGTAGGGATGACTGGGGGGGAATGCACTCGAGGGCTCTCAGGGACCGCAGACCGACAGGCGCGGATGCTTGCAGGTGTAGATGCACAGCAACGGCCTCCGCTGGCTGTAACAACGTTGCTGCTGCTGCTTTGCTTGCTGCTCCGCCTGTTCCTCCGCCTGCTGCTTCGCCAGCTGCTGCTGCATTCCCCGCTGCGCTAGGGGCTGCCACGCCATGCGCGGGCCTAGTGGCTAACAGTGATGTGTCCGACGCAACCGCGAGCTGCCACGTGGCAGAGAGCAGCGAATCCCGTGACGTGGCAGCGGCACACGCTCGCCTCGTGCGGCCGAGCATCCCCCTCAGCTGTTGCGCGCGTGACGCCATGGAACCGCGCCTGGCGCAAGGAAAGGGGACCGCGCGAAGTGGGGAGAAGCGGGGGGAATCTGACGCAGGTTTTGCGAAGGAGCGACAGCGGATGAGGAGTGAGTGGGAACGATTTCGGTATTTTTTTTTTCTGCGAATGGATCTCGCCGACTGCTTTACAGCGTCGTCGAACGTTCTCAATACGTCCTGATTTTGTACGCTCGCGACGTTATTTCGCCAACATTCGCGCCGACTATCGCCAACTGCCTACGACTCTCGAAGACTGTCGCCGATCTACGAATCCTCGTCAGCGCTGTGCGCGCACTGGTAGACAGATTACCTGCACCCGTACGGTCTATCTGCGCGCGCAACGCGCTCTTCCGCACAATCACCTCTCCGCACTCGCCGTTCCGCACGCCAGGTCCCGGGAAGAACGCCACAAGCAGGCCACAAAATGGCAGAGCACGCCGCAAATGCGAGCCTGAAAACAGGGGGCTGGTGAGAGAAAGAATTCGCTGTACGCGTTAGGAGTGAGACATTCATCGAGAAGTTAGTTCGATTTACCGGGGTTTTATGGATATCGGCTTGGGCCTGAAGCCTGAAACCATAGTCTCTACACATTTGAGCGTCTTTCGAATATCCGCTGTAATATTCACACTGAATCCCTCTACAGCGGATCATATTCCTGGGCGGCAGTCACCACCACCACCATCCACGTCCCTGCTTCCCCGCCACAGGCACAAAAAAAGGCTTGGCACCAATTCTGCAACATCAACTTGTCCCAGTCGAATCTTACCCTGACGTGCCGTCACTGTGACGATATCACACTAGGCAGGGTTGTGGTGTGCAGTCGCGTCGCCCAGGTTGAAAATTGAAACTGACCAACGGCTGCGACGGCTTCGCCTTTCGACTCTTCCTGTTCTCCGTTTCCCTAGATTTTCAGCCAACGCGGTTGACGATTTCGTCCTCCACCTTTACCTCCTAGGCGGTCAATTCAGCCGTCGCCGCGATGTGCGGGCGCGCGCGTTGCACGCTGTCGCCAGACGCCGTCACGCGCGCAACCGGCGCGCGGCCCGATTGGCGCGACCAGCACCTGTGCGTTCTCTGTGTGACTCACCTCCATCTTCTCGTTTTCAGACGACATGCACTCTCCATATTTCCCGAATCTCGATCTGCCATGAAGCAAGCGACATGCCTCACGCGGAAGACGACGCACCGCGCTGCCTGCTTTCCTCTCTTTACTCTCTGCTCGTCTCGTTTGCCGGCCGTCGTCGCTCACGTCGCTTCGTTCTCGCATCGCGCGTCGTTTCGTTCGCTTATTCAGCGGGCGCCGCGGCTCATGCACCATTTCACGCAACTCATAGCACGTGCGCACCTCTGCGCCCGCGCGTGTCTGTGCTGTGCGCGCTTACGGCAGGTTCCGCCCATCCTTCAACGTCGCGCCCGGCACCTTTCTGCCCGTCGTCTGCGCCGCCGCTTCCGCCGCCCCGTCCGCCTCCCCGCACGCTGCTTCCGCTTCCGCCAAGCTCGCCCCTGCGGAAGCGGAATGCGCGGAGGATAGATGTGCGGAGGCGGAAGAAGCGGACGAGGAAGGGCGCGCGCAGGGGGAGATTGGAGGGGGGAGGGGGAAGGCAGGAGAAGCGGAGCAACAAGAGCAGGCGGATGAAGAACAAGGGGTACAGGCGGAGGAGGAGCGGAAGCGGCAGGTGGTGGAGGCGGAGGGGGAGCAGAAGGGGCAGGCGGGGGGGGAGGTGGAGGTGCAGGTGATGAAGTGGGGGCTGGTGCCGTCGTTCTGCAGCAAGACACAGCCGCCCGACCACTTCCGCATGGTGTGACGGTGGGGTGGTGGGGGGATGATGGTGGGTGCGCGTGGTGGGGGTGATTGTGAAGTTTGCAATGGGGATGATGGTCAACGCACGTGGTGAGGTGCCTCACAGCGTTTCACACAGCGATTCACTCTCGTCATGCGCCGTCCCTCTTCCCCCAAATTCTCGCTTTCTCTATCCTAATTCGCCTCTTCCCTGCGTTCCCTCCTTTCCGCCTTCTCCCCTCTCTCTCCTTCCCCTCTCCTTCCCCTCCCCCCACATTCCCTCTCCCCTCCCCCCCCCAGTTCAACGCACGTTGTGAGTCGCTGCACGCCAAGCCGTCCTTCCGCCGCCTGCTGCCCTCCCAGCGCTGCGTCGTGGTCCTGGAGGGGTGAGCCTACGTTGGCAGATACGCGTCCCAGGGTATAATACGCTAGCGTGTTATACGCTGGGTATATACGCGGTACGCCAGGGCTGGCGTACTGGTGATACGCAAAAATACGCTGGGCGAGCAGGTAAAACTTTTTTCCCGGGCAGGGCTAAAAATTCCTGTTTCAGGGGGGGGGATTGTTTTCCAAGAACACAAGTCTTAAATTTCATAAATATCCAGAAATACATATTTGGGGCTACTTCTCCCCATACATCCCCACCCCACCCCACCCTCTAGCTAGCTTCCCCACAACCGATTTCCTTGCGGGGCTTTTCCACCACCACACCTTCCCCATACTCATCCGCCAGCACTGCATCCTCTCCTTCCTCCCCCAGCATGTCATCCTCCTCCTCATCCATGTTATAGCCGGGGGGGACAGGGGCATCCGGGATGTTACCGGGCACAACTGTGCTGCCCCCATCCTTCTTGTACCAATTGCGCACAACGTTCCAGTTGTGCGCAATGTAGACGAGGTCCGCACACTTGGCGGACCCGAGCCGGTTGCGGCGGGCGGTGTGGACGCCCGCACTGCGCCCAGCCACGCTCGCATTGGGAAGCCGAGACGGGCTGAGTGAGCACCCGGCATGCGAGGGCGGCAAGCTCAGGATACTCGGTGCTGTGCCACGACCACCACTGCACCATGCTCATCTCCCCCTTCTTCACTGCCTCCCTTGCAGAAATGGCGCCCGGCTTGCCAAAGCTGCCCTCCATGTTGATGTAGGCCAGCAATGCCTCCTGCAGCACAAGGGAGGCGCGACGAGGGGCGCCATCCTTGCCACGCTTGAAGGTCTTGTTGTCATAGTGGCGCTCGATGTAGTCCTTGAACACCCGCGTGCACTCCACATCGTTCCTGAAAATTCCCTCCTCCTGGTTGGCCCGATTCAGGATCCGGCCAACCACATGCATGGGGCAGGCAAGGGAGTTGTCCCACCTGTCCTTCACAATCTTGGTGATGTCTGCCCTCTCTGTCCGAGTCAAGAAGTCACTTGAAGTGTCGAGCTTGTCATTGATGTCCTCGGTAAGCTGTAGCATGATGTCATACAGCTTACCCATCATGCCTTTCGCGGAAGAGTCCGTGGCCCGCATGACCTTGAATGGCACCGCCATGAGAGAGGTAAAGAACTCCGCCACCCCCCACCACTCCTCATCCATCACAGCAGCCCTGAATTTCTCAGCTGCTGTCTTCCTATCCTTGTCCGCCGCTGCCCACACCTTCCACTCGTCGCTGAGCACCATCGCCGCCAGCCCACTCCTCACCTCACATAGCCGGGCCATGGCTATGTATTGTGTCCCGAACCTGGTTCCCGCAGGCTTGAGCACCTGCTTCCCCCCCACTTTCTTCATATAGGCACGGGTAAAGTGGTGGTTGCGCACGAAGGTAATCATCTCCCCTCCTTTCTCCACAAGCCCCTTCGCCCATCCCATTTTGCCCATATCTTCCATCATCAGGTCCAGGACATGCGTGGCACATGGCACATGCTCAATGTGCGGCCATGTGCTCGCAATCTTCTTGGCGGCCGATGCATAGTTGCTGCCGCCATCGGTGCAGACCGCCACCACATTCTCCGGCCCCACCTTATCAATGACGGGGCGGAGAAGGCTGGCGATGTACCCCCCGGTCTTCGACTCCATGTTGCAGTCCACCGCCTGCTCGAAAACTGCGCCGGAGTCGTTGACAAGGAGCACGTTGGCCTGCGGGCGGCCACAACGGTCGGTCATCATGTCCGACGACACCGTTACCCCGTCCCGCTTCCAGCTCGCGGCAACGGGGGCGAACGCGACCTCTATTTTCTGCCGCACCTTCTTCAAGCCTGCCCCTCCAATGTAGCACCTCTTAGGAGGGACGTACCCAGGTCCAGCGCGCGCAATGCACTGGATCGCGTAGCGGAAGACCGGATCGTCCGCAATGCGCTCCGGAAGTTTCAGCGCCGCGAACAGAAGGCAAAGCGCGTTATCCGCGTCCTCCTTGGCGCACGTCGCCTCATTGCCAAAGAAATCCGTAATTTTGCTCTTTTTCTCCGGGTTTCCACTGACAGCGTCAAGCGCGGAGTGAATTGCAGCAGCGGCCGCCCCTCGCTTCAAGTCCTGCTGTTCCGCCTTGGTCTCGTACATGCCACGGACTTCATCGCGGACTGCCGTGGGCGCGTCCTTGCATAACGCCACAGCACGCTTCTCCTGCCCTTTCCATGTCGCGAGATGGATTACACAGCGGTTTGTTCCGCCCTCGAACTTCTTGCCACAGAACTTGCACAGCTTGGGGTTGCCTTTGGTGTGAAACAGAATGAGGAAATGTTTCAGAATGGGGTGAGATAGTCCAACCTCAACAGGATCCGTGTTGACGGTAGTAGAGTCATGGACAGAGGCTGGATTGTTGTTCGTCGAAGTACTAGGAGCTGAGCCCGACGCCATGGCGCACTACGTAAGTCTAACTAACGAAGAAGAGTGGAGAAATGCGGGAAGGAAATGGAAGAGCATTTGCGCAACGTCGACCTATACGTGCAAACGATGGAAGAACATTTGAAGGGGGTGGTTGGGACTGAGAGGTTGGGTGGGGTGATGTGTGGTTGAGGGGGTGGGAAAGTTTGGATTTTGAAATTCGAAGTTCAGAAGTGGGGTTGGGCACATGAGCGAAGTCGCGGTAACACTTCGCGACTTCGCACATCGTCGCAAAGTTTTTCAATTTCGGATTTTTTTTTTCGCCGGGCTGCCCGGCCGTATTTTCGCGAATTCAGAGCGTATCAGCGTATCACGCATATACGCTAGCGAATATACGTGATACGCCAGCCTTTCAAGAGCGTATCTGCCAACATAGGGGTGAGCGCCAGGGGTGAGAGAGTGGGGCGGCAGAGAGGGGTGGGATGGGTGAGATGGGTGAGACGGATGAGATGGGTGAGACGGATGAGATGGGTGAGACGGGTGAGTCGCTGCACGCCAAGCCGTCCTTCCGCCGCCTGCTGTCCTCCCAGCGCTGCATTGTGCTGCTGGAGGGGTGAGATACAGGGGTGGGAGGGGTGAGATACAGGGGTGGGAGGGGTGAGATACAGGGGTGGGAGGGGTGAGATACAGGGGTGGGAGGGGTGAGATACAGGGGTGGGAGGGGTGAGATACAGGGGTGGGAGGGGTGAGATACAGGGGTGGGAGGGGTGAGATACAGGGGTGGGAGGGGTGAGATACAGGGGTGGGAGGGGTGAGATACAGGGGTGGGAGGGGTGAGATACAGGGGTGGGAGGGGTGAGATACAGGGGTGGGAGGGGTGAGATACAGGGGTGGGAGGGGTGAGATACAGGGGTGGGAGGGGTGAGATACAGGGGTGGGAGGGGTGAGATACAGGGGTGGGAGGGGTGAGATACAGGGGTGGGAGGGGTGAGATACAGGGGTGGGAGGGGTGAGATACAGGGGTGGGAGGGGTGAGATACAGGGGTGGGAGGGGTGAGATACAGGGGTGGGAGGGGTGAGAGGAGACGAGGAGGGATGAAAAGGGATGAGAGGGTCGAGGGGGGTTGGAAGGATGCGGATATTCATTTCAGTAATTCATGTATGCGATGCATTCTTATTTCTCCTCCTTACTCTTCTTACGCTGCCAGATTCTACGAGTGGAAGAAGGAAGGTTCAAAGAAGCAGCCGTTCTACATTCACATAAGCGACGGGAGGCCGATGGTGATGGCGGGGCTGTTTGACTGCTGGCGTGATGCGCAGGGTGAGTAAGGAAAGTAAGGAGGGGGGGGGGGGGGGAGAGACAGCAAGCACAGTGAGTGGGGGAAAGGGGGGGAAAGGGCAAGCATGGTGATGGCGGGGTTGTTTGACTGCTGGCGCAACGCACAGGGTGATAGGAGGGGAAATGACAAGCAAGGTGAGTGGGGGTGGGGGGGAGACACCAAGCACAGTGAGCGGGGGGAACGGGGAAGGCCGGTGGTGATGGCATGGCGGGGCTGTTTGCTGGTGCAACGTACATGGTGAGAGGAGGGGGGAGGGTAAGACATACACAGTGAGTGGGGGAGATAGGGGGGAAACGCGAAGCATGGTGAGTGGAGGGTGAGGGGGAGGGGGCGATGCTACGGGTGGAGGCGAGGCGAGACCCCACGGCACAACGACGTGTGGTGGTGAGAGGACAGCAATGCCCTTTGCCCACTGCAATACTCCTCACACCCATCTGTTAATGTGCTTTCACAGGCACGAGGCTCGTTCAATTCCACCCATTTATACTCCTCTATCTCTGCATCTCGTTATCTCCCCCCCACACTCCCCCAACACCCCATCTGGCGTTCGCTCGTCATGATCTTCTCACGCCACCGCCAGGCGAGCGGCTATTCACCTTCACTATAGTCACAACGGCATCGTCACAGCGCCTGCAGTGGCTGCACGGTGAGACCCCCATCCCACTCACCACTGCCCACCAACTGTTGCAAGTGGTGAGAGGACCGTGAAAGTGGGTGAGAAGAATTGCCACATCCTCCCTGTCAAATGCAGGCGACCTCTCACTCCCTCCACCAGCCAGCACTCATCCAAACATTTCCTCCTTTCCTCTCCTCTCGCGCCCCTTCGTCCTACCCACCCTGAGTGCTCCTGCCATGCCTCGCTCTCTCTCTGAGCTTCTCCCTTCCCTTGTTGCTGTGCACTGCTCATCCCCCCTCTCCCTCCCCTCCCCCCCTCCATCAGACCGCATGCCGGCCATCCTGCCATCACAGCACCACGTCACCGCATGGCTTCAAGGCAAGCTATCAGGCCCTGACACCATGCCGAGTGCTGCTTTTCCCCTCTCCTCCGCTCTCCCCGACTCTCCCTTTACCCCCCATCAGACCGCATGCCGGCCATCCTGCCATCACAGCACCACGTCGCTGCATGGCTGCACGGCAAGCTCTCAGGGCCGGACGCCATCGCCCACCTCTGCTCGCCCTACAACCACCCCGACTTGGTCCGTCCCATCCTCTTGCTCTCTCCCCTGCCGCATGTTTCTTTGACTCCCTTTCAGCCCGTTCCCCTCTCTCCCGCAATGCTCTATTATCGTGTTGTTCACCGTGTCACCTCCTTCCCCCCTCACCTCTGACCGTGTGGCAGGTGTGGCACGCAGTGACGCCAGAGGTGGGCAAGCCGGCCTTCAACGGCCCGCAGTGCGTGCAGCCGGTGAGACCACGCGAATGTTAAGGGATGGGCGGGAGGGAGAAGGGGGATGGGGGAATGGGTGGGTGGAGGAAGGGGACTAACCACTATTTGTTTTGCCTTATCTGGACTGGTGTGTCTGCTGCATAACTTTTGGTTGCCTCCCTTCTCCCACTGCCCACTGCGCTGCAGATTTCATTGAAGCCGGCGCTCTCATCCACCCCAATCACGCAGCTCTTTGCCCGCAAGAGACAAAAAACGCCACCCACTGATGCGGTGGGGACAGGAGGGGTGGACAAGCAGGAAGCGGAGGCAGGAGGAGGTGCATTGGAAGAAGGGCACAGAGTGAAGGGCGAGGAAGGAGGCAGTGAGGAGGAGAAACAGCTGGCTGGGGTGCAGGAAGCACCGGTGGAGGCTGGGGCAGGGGCTGATGAGGGTGATGGGGCGAGTGAGGAGCAAGCAAAGGGTGGTTCCAGTGGCAATGAGCAACAAGAGGGTGCTGGTGAGCAACGCAGTGAGAGAGGCGTGGTTGAAGAGCTGCTCCCTGTGACCCCTCTTCCTCGGGATATGCGTGTCCATGTATCCCAGTCTTCCTCACAGTCCGAGCAGCACCCACCAGCTCCTGCTTCTGCTCCCCCTGTTGCTGCGACCGTCACTTCTTCCAAGGTGGGATCTCCTGTGTCAACGAAACGACATGCTAAAGGAGCAAAGGGTTCGAAAATCTCGCCTAAGCGTAGGAAAACGGAACCTGAGGCTGTTGAAGCTGGCAACCAGATGTCGATCAAACGTTTTTTCAAGGTCCCATAGTTTTGAGGGGGCTGATAGCTTAGATGTTTAATTTTGAGAGTGTAAAATTTTGTGTACACAAACAGTCCAGATTTGACTTGTGCTACACCGGTTGCACGTTTATCAGATCTAACAATTGCCATACCAGGCGCAACCAGACTGGTCGAATGGCAGGTCGTGCCTCCCCGCGTCTGACACGTGTCAGGCCGCGCCACAACTTTCAGCCCTGCCTGCCAGCCTTCCATCATCCCACCCGCGTTGCGCAGTCGTAGGCTCCTAGATTCCATCGGTCGAGGTTGCGTTGCACAGTCTAGAAACTGCATGGTGCGTGATAGCATTATCAGCAGCTTATACGCGTTACGAGGAGCAAATGACGCATCTCCAGCGTTAGCGATGAAAGGAGCTTGTTCGATCATGCTGAGTCTGAAGCCGTGACGATCAATTGAAAGGGTAGATATTCACTGATACCTCACAATTTACGCGCATCGCTTTCCTCGCCAAGTCCTGCTGTAATACTATCTCCTGCAGCACGTCACGCGCTACCGCTAGCGCAATGCACGACCGCGTCGGAGTAACGCTGTCCGTGAGTCGCGCTCCCTGCATAGGACCACGCGGTCTGCTCGCACCGCGCCGTCGATTGCGGCAATCAGTATGGGATCCGCTCCAGCCACGAGGGACCGCGCCGCGACTAGAAGGCGGCTCGCAGCAGCATCGGAATGGGCAACGTCAGTCTGCTGTAGCGGCATCGTCGCTCCGCGATAATCGAAAGAGTAATGCGAGTAGATTAAGTTCAGGAAGCCGAACGCGCGGGGTCCATTACCCCTCGCTCGTTAGTCCATCGTTTCCTCAACCGTCGGTATCTCCGCGGCTCGATGCCACGTGTCAAGCTAGGGCGAGCCCGGTTGTGGAAGCCACGACGGCATCGGAGGGCGGCTCGAGCGAGAGACGAACAGACGCGGGCCTTGCGGGAGAGCGACCCGCGCAGACCGCGCGAGGGGACGGATCGGCGCGGAGGCCAGCAGCGGAATCGAGAGAGACGGGCGCAGAGGAGAGAAGTAACGAGTTAAGTGACGACGAGATGGCGGAGGCGAAGGAGGAAGCAGGTTTGGAGATGGAAGAGGAGGAGGAGGACAGCTTTCTTGCGCACTGGTCGTGGGCGGGGTGGGTGCGCGACGTCGTCGAGCTGCGCTTCCTCGAAAACGAGACCGCCGTCCGCCGCTCCATGCCGCCACTTCCGCCCCAATACCCCGGTGCGCGCGCACTCGCACAGCGATCCCGCTGCGGTCTTGCCCCGCTATTCCGCTGCGCACTCGCTCCCGCTGTTACAGCGCGTATCACGCCACAGCCCGCTTCCGCATTTTCCAGCCCTCACGACGTCCGCGTCCGCCTCGATCCCCCTCTCACCACCCCCCACATCTCCCCCGCCCCTTCCCCCTCTCCATCGCCGTGCTCCCCGCGCAGCGTCCGCGCGGGCGAGCGCGCGCGGGATACTGGCGGGGGACGCGGGGTACGTGCGCGCGCTGGGGGAGGTGGCGCGGTGGTGGGCGGAGAGCTGGCGCGTTCCGCTGCAGTACGAGTACGACCCTGCTGACGTGGCACACTACTTCAACCGCCGCCCGCACATCGTGCTGCTGCGCACGCTCAAGGTGCGCCCTTGGGCATGGGCAAGCACATGGCTGGGCTAGCTGTTGAGAGTTGACTTTTGAATTGACTCAAAAGTCAACCCGCACATTGTGCTGCTGGGTGCGCCGTTGGGCATGCGCTTGGCTTGTGTAGCTGCTTCGCTCAACGCAAGGTGCGCCATGTGCATGGGTGTGGCTAGGCTAGCTGCAACCATGGATGCCCCACACGCTGAGCCCCCATTCCCCCACATTGCACCTCTCTGCCCCCCATTCTCTTCCACTGCCCTCCCCTTCCCACACTTGCCCACTACTCCCCACTGCCCTTGCTGCCTCCTCTCGCTGCAGATCTCGGTACTGCTGGCAGCAACGTGGGTGCAGGTGGCGAGGGACACGGGCGCCATACGGGCGAGGGACACGGGCGCCATACGGGCGAGGGACACGGGCGCCATTAGAGCATTGAGATCCTACAACCCCACATTCTCCCTCCCCCCCACACTCTCCTCCCACCCACCGCAGATATCAGTGCTACTAGCAGCGACGTGGGTGCAGGTGGCGAGGGGCACGGGCGCCATCAAGTGTGCTGCTCACCTGCTCTGCCACACTTCCCACTACCCCTCACTGCCTTCCACTAACCGTCTCCCACACAGATCTCGGTGCTGCTAGCAGCGACGTGGGTGCAGGTGGCGAGGGACACGGGCGCCATACGGGCAAGGGAGGCGGGGGGAGTGAGTGCGGGGGACGAGCGCATCGCTGCCATCCGCCAGCACAGCGCGCTCAAGCTCAAGCGCACGCTGCTGCGCCTCGGCCCCACGTTCATCAAAGGTAGGGTGCGCCTCGGCCCCACGTTCATCAAAGGTAGGGTGCGCCTCGGCCCCACCTTCATCAAAGGTAGGGTGCGCCTCGGCCCCACGTTCATTAAGGGTAAAGGTGCCTGTATCCACGTGTCGTTGTGCTATTCCCCACACCGTGAATCCAACCCTCTCAACTCGTTTCCCTGCATCCGAGTTCCCGGCATGCCGGTATCCCGGTTTCCCGGTTTCCCGGCTTTCCGGTATCGGGGTATCCCGGTTTCCCAGTTTCCCGATATCCCGGTATCCCGGTTACCTGGTATCCCGGTATCCCGGTTTCCCGGTTTTCCGCTATCCCGGTATCCCGGTATCCCGGTATCCCGGTATCCTGGCATCCCGGTTTTCCGGTTTCCCGGTATCTCGGTTTCCCGGTTTCCCGGTATCCCGGTATCCCGGTATCTCGGTTTCCCGGTTTCTCGGTTACCCGGTTACCCGGTATCCTGGTTCCCAGTATCCCGGTATCCTGGTTTCCCGGTTTCCCGGTATCCCCGTATCCCGATATCCCGGTTTCCCCGGTTTCCCGGTTTCCCCGGTATTCCGGTATCCCGGTTTCCCGGTTTCCCGGTTTCCCGGCTTCCCGGTTTCCCGGTATCCCGGTATCCCGGTATCCCGGTTTCCGGTATCCCGGTATCCCGGTATCCCGGTTTCCCGGTATCCCTGGATCCCTGTTTCCTGGTTTCCCGGTTTCCCCGTATCCCAGTATCCCGGTATCCCGGTTTCCCGGTTTCCCGGTTTCCCGGTTTCCCGGTATCCTGGTTTCCCGGTTACGCGGTTACCCGGTATCCCGGTATCCTGGTTTCCCGGTTTCCCGGTATCCCGGTATCCCGGTATCCCGTTATCCCGGTTTCCCGGTATCCTGGTATCCCGGTAACCCGGTATCCCGGTTTCCCGGTATCCCCGTATCCCGGTATCCCGGTTTCCCCGGTTTCCCGGTTTCCGGTTTCCCGGTATCCTGGTTTCCCGGTTACGCGGTTACCCGGTATCCCGGTATCCCGGTATCCCGGTTTCCCGGTTTCCCGGTATCCCGGTATCCCGGTTTCCCGGTTTCCCGGTATCCCGGTATCTTGGTATCCCGTTATCCCGGTTTCCCGGTATCCCGGTTTCCCGGTTTCCCGGTATCCCGATTTCCCGGTATCCCGGTAACCCGGTATCCCGGTATCCCGGTATCCCGGTATCCCGGTTTCCCGGTTTCCCGGTATCCCCGTATCCCGGTATCCCGGTTTCCCCGGTTTCCCGGTTTCCTCGGTATTCCGGTATCCCGGTATCCTGGTATCCCGATATCCCGGTTTCCCGGTTTCCCCGGTATCCCGGTTTCCCGGTTTCCCAGTTTCCCCGGTATCCCAGTTTCCCGGTATCCCGGCATCCCGATTTCCGGGTATCCCGGTTTCCCGGTTTCCTGGTTTCTCGGTATCGTCCATTGCCCCTCATCCCTTCATCATCCCCTCCTCCCTCTATGTCTGTCCCGCCCCCCACCTCTCCCCAGTGGCGCAGTCACTCTCAGCGCGCCCAGACGTGGTGGGGCCGGACACTGCCAAGGTGAGAGGCAGGGGCTTGCGGAATAAGTGTGTGCGGGGGAAGGGGCGTCAAGGGGGAGTTGGGGGGGTTGTCGGGAGGTTTCTGGTGGTTGGGGCCTGGGTCTCTTGTTCCTACAAAGGTGTGAACGCTCGGGTGTCTGATGCTCGTTTGAGTCCACCTCCCTTTTCCTCCCTCTACCCACTGTCCCCGCCGCGACTCATCATCCCTCCCCTGGCCTCGCGTCTTTTGAGTTCCAGTTTTACAAGCTCTTGACTATTAGCCAGTGTTATTTTTTTTTTCTGTCTTTTCCTACTTGCTCTAGCCTAAACCTAACCGCTGCTCACTGGAAGATGTCCCAAGATCCGCTTGAGTCCCTTCTTCCCTCCATCCCACCCCTCCTCCCTCCCCTGTCTCTCCCCACTCTTCCCTCCCCCGTTCCCCCCCATCCACCAGGTGCTAGCAGAGCTGCAGGACCGCCTACCAGCGTTCCCATCAGAGGACGCCATGGCCGTCATTGAAAGGGAGCTTGGCCGCCCCGCTGCCGCGCTCTTCCCCCTGCTCTCGCCCACGCCCGTTGCTGCCGCCTCGTTCGGGCAGGTGAGCTGAGAACGCAAGGGAAGGGCGCTTGTGAGGTTCCGGGCAGGTGAGCATGAGAGCGAGGGAGGCGTGGGTTGTGAGTTTCTGAGCAGGTGAGAGTGATAGAGTGAGGGAGAGTGGCTGTGAGCGCAGCAGCATGGGCGGCGGCAGGGAAGGTGAGTGGGCCAGCAGCTGTGCTGCTCTGTGAGTGGGCCAGCAGCTGTGCTGCTTTTGTGCGCTGCTACTGCACGTGTGTCTGCACGTGTGTGTGCATGTGTTGGCCAGTCAGATCACATATGGAAGTGTGCGCGTGCCCACCCACATGTGCGTGGATGTGCCGGCATGCGCCACCCACGCCAGGTGTACAAGGGGCGCACGCGGGACGGCATGCGCGTGGCGGTGAAGGTGCAGCGGCCCAGAGTGCTCTTCCTTGTCGCCAGAGACATTCACATCCTGCGCATGCTGGTCAGCCCTCTGCTCCCCTCTGCCCTCCCATGCTTATGAGACATCCACATCCTGCGCATGCTTGTGAGCTCTGCTCCCTTCAGCGTTTTCATCATTCTTTCTCATGCTCTTTTCCCAATTGTATGCTTTCACCTGTCACGCCTTTTGGTCGCCACCTCGCTCACCTTCCCGGCGCTTTCTCCCTTTCCCTCCCCTTGCTCTCTTCCTCCTCTGCCCCCCCAGCTGCGGGCAGTGAGGCGGGTGGCGGGGATAAACACGGACCTGGCAGCATTGGCGGACGAGTTCGGGAGGGGGCTGTATGGCGAGCTGGACTACCGCCAGGAAGCCAGCAACGCCACGCTCTTCGCTGTCAGTTCTGCTCCCTGCTGCTCCCCCTGTCGTCTATGTTTGCCCGCCTGCTTGCATGCTTGCTCTCTGCATTGGCGGACGAGTTTGGGAGGGGGCTGTATGGCGAGCTGGACTACCGCCACGAGGCCACCAACGCCACGCTCTTCGCTGTGCGTGCCACGCCGCTCCCTTTCATGCTAGCGTGTCTATGTGCTTGTGTGCTTGTGTGCTTGCACACTTGCCCTTCCCCTACCCCATGCATCCACTGCACCATGCTTATGGTATGCTTGCCGTTCGCAGGCAGGCAGGCAGGCATGCATGCGCCACCT